ATGTAGGTACATACATGTTCTCGGGTGACAGGTCGCTTTTTTTGGGGCCTCCCCCCTCATTCTGCCATCATCAACTCCACCCTCCACCCTCTCCCCCGCCTCAGGGTTCCATTTTGGGGGCAAGGGAAGGATGGGGAGTAGCCGGCTTTGGCTTACACTACATTTGGCCCGCCTCGCGACCGGTGTATGTCGTGGAGTGTATGTATGGCTGCCCAGCTCGATCAGGAGATGTCCAATTCTGCGATTGAGACATGTACCACCACACCGGGATGAGGATTGGGTGGGAATTGGGAGGGACTCGGTGAAGCCTCGCCCGATAGTTACCTATCAGGCAAGGCAGAGAAACGGCAGGTTAAGGCAGGTATGGTGTGCAGGAGCGGCTATTCTAGGAAGCCATCCCGTCGCTGACCCGCATCCGCATTTCATAAAACACAGCACAACACACAACACACAACACACAACACACCTGCAGCGGCGGCGACGGTGCCGGCAGCTGTTGGGTGCGTATGTGTTTGTGATGGTGGCTACCTGCGGCATCTCATCTCATGCGGAAGCAGGGGGGGGTGGGTGTTGGAACGGACGGGGTGGGTGGGGGAGAGACAACTTAGAGAAGAGGGTGATGGGGTGATGGGCATCTGGACCATCCAGCCCCTTCTCGGTAAAGCATATGCAACCCACAATACACCCTACCCCCCCCCTTCGTGTATGTGGAAGTAAGGTAACTTCGCATGCGGGCTGCCCGGCTGGGTGGACGTACAGTTCCGTGAGTGGTTGTTCCCATCTGAAACACGGCTTGTCGAGGGCAAGCATACATGCACACCCCCCCTCCCCTTTGGCGCTCGCTTGTGTTCCTCGTTTATCGGATCAGCCACTGAGACTCTTGGGCTGAGACATGCTGACGTCGTGGGCAGACCCCTCTTCTTCACACCCACCCTCGGGACCACCAGCGCTAGACCCGCTGTGTTGGATCTCGCAGATGCGGGACCTCGCATTGGGGGAAGTTGGTGGAGGAGGTGACGAAAGGGGAGAGGGGGGAAGAGCCGGGAATTAGGTATGATATGCAGGCCTACCGAATCTGACATAGTGCGGTTGATGCCTGGGTCGGAGGCTCTTCTCTCCCCTCCGATCAGGTCTGGACTCTAGACCCCTCATCCCAACGCCCCATGCCCTATGTCGTGCGTTACCCATCGTCCACGTGCTTGTCGATCAGATCGGATCGGAACGTATCTGACCTGGGGGGTGTCACCGGTGTGGTAAGGTCAGGTGGTCACGAGATCATGATGTCGTCCTCCATCAAGAAACTGGGAATAGGGTGTGACCCAAGGTGAGAAAACATCACTGCTGTGTTGAGAAGGTATCGTCAGCGGCCAGGTCAGGAGTGTTTTGTGGAACGTATTCCATGTCGTCCTCGGCTTGCTTGCTTGACGTGGATTGTTTGTAGGACCCCGGTGACGAAGGGAGACATGCATCTCGTCGCCGAACTCTGAGGAATGCATCCTCTAGCCAACCAGCTTCAGGTCAAGGGCGAAGTCAGCCGCGCTTGACGGCGGTTGTGTAACGCACAGCGTCAACTGCTGCCACGTTAACACAACCTCCTACCGCGTTTCGACCCAAGAACCCAAAATATTATTAGATGACTGACAACGCACCGCAAAGGACTTTTCAACCGACCCTACCGTCTTCATAAGCATAAACATGGCGATAACCCCCAAATCTTACCCCCAATACCTCGCAACCGAAAAAGAAACCGTGGGCGTAACACAACAGCAACCGGTGTGCCGAGAATATTCGACGCCGACATGAGCGTACCAAAAAGGGGGACCGGTCAAAACAAAAACAACCCAACGACCCAAAAACAGAACAACGACAAGAGTCGGGCTTCCATTGATGACGCCGAATTGAGAAGCCGTGTTGGGCATTGATGAGGCCACCCTCTCAAGACGGTCGGGACCATGTTCAACCCCGAGGAGGGTGATAAGCCGAGAAGTTGCATATCTGGATATCGGTGGGTGTGTATGGAAGATACATGGCATTGACATTGGGTGTTCGTCCTTGAGAATAGGGTCACGGGCCTTTTATCCTGTCTGAGCGGATCATCTTAACGGATTGTGATGTGAGCCTCGAGGCAAAATGAAGGAAATAAAATAAGGAAGACGAAGAAGAAGAATGGTCTGAGGTTTGCATCTTCAATCATGGTGGGTGGGATGCAGAGGGTAGGCAAACCCATGTTATTCCCATATTGCAAACAAATATTTCGAAGCATATCATATCATTCACAGTCACAAAAGATTAACAGTGTTCAGGTGAGAGTTTGACATAGAAAAGGATAACTAATACAAAATAGCAATGTGGCTTGGCATTGTGGGCTCTTATTATTGACCCCTGCTGGATTTTGTGGCTCAATAACCGAGGTTTGTGGTGGCTGGTGGCTGGTGGCTCAACGGCCTCAAGGATGCACGGATCGCCCACCCGGGCGGGTGGCCTTGCGACAATTCATCGGCATTGCATTCAGCCTTGCTCTGCTATTGTTCAGCCTCGCTCGCATCTCCCACCATCCATCACCTTGACATCAGACGGCCTGCACCGGCTTAGCTCCTTTACGCTTTGACCTGAACCTCCTTTATCTCGTTCCTGAGATTGAATCCTGCTTGTATTGCGTCTTTCGCCCCTTTAAACCCCAACCTCAACTGCTGCAAAGCACTCCCGAGCACGAGCACGAGACCAGGGACAGAGCTCTGTGCACCTTGTTCGTGACCTGGGTTCAGGCCGGCTCAACAACACCAGTCCATCTTCAAAGAGCAGACTAGGCAGCGCTTTTAAAACTCTGTGAAAGACCGTCCACCTGCTTGTCGCCACCGATTTACCCGTTCCAATCCACTCTCCAGCCATAAACAAACAACAAAACATGGCTAGCCAAAACCCTACCACACCCGTGAAGGTGCCCTCATCGGCTGCTAGCTACACCGCGGCCACGCTCGACCCTGATCTCAGATCCCAGATCAACTCATTATTAATAAAGGATGGCCATGTCACTAAGTAAGCCAGCCAGCCCGCCCGACAGCTTTCACCCCCATTCACCCCCACAACCCAGCCTTGCATCCCACCATCATCACCCACTAACCACCCTCCCCCCCCCCACCATAGAATCCAAGAAAGCCTCCTACACGCCCTCCACTCTCACAAATCCAACTGGCCTACCGCCGTACAAAACCACGCCTTATCTCTCCTCCGCTCCGGCGAAGTGACGTCCTTCCCCGCCCTCCTCCGCCGCGTCCTCGAAGACGTCCGCCAAGACACCACATTCTCCCCCAACGGCACCGCCGCCACGGCCACCAACGGCACATCCAGCAGCAAGGCCGCCGCAAACGGCACATCATCAGAAGAGAACGGTACCCCCGTAGCGAACGGCAGCGGCAGCAAGACCAACGGCGCCGCGGCCGCGGCCAATAACGGGACCGGCGCCGGTGGCCGGCCAAGCCTCGCCGTTCCGTCGACTGTGGTTGATGAGGCGCTGAAGGTCACGCGGGATTGTCTTGATTCGGTGTGCGAGATGGATGAGAGCGGCGCGACGTAAGAGGGGGGGGCTGGACACATATACACACAGAGGGGAGGTGGTGGTTATTACATCGAATGTGGCGTGGGGGTATCTTTCACTCGCTCGCCGTCCCCTATCTGGCCTTTTTCTCCCTCAAGAGCTGGGATGGGGTGGTGGGCCCGAACCACGACGGGAAACATGCAGAAGGTGTGGCAACCGTGCGAACCACCGGACACAGGCACCTACGCTTCTTTTCTCTTTTTTTCTCTTCTCTCTTCATTTCACTTTCCCCGCGGCCACGACAGCCGACCGCTTTCCCATTCCACGGTTGGCGTCGATGACGCGCTTGTTTCTACGTACTTTGCCTACATTTTGCCACGCTCGACTAAAAAGAGGGGGAGGGGATACCCGAGGACAGGACGATCACGACTAGGGCTGGGATGCGATGCCATCGGGGACAAATGATGGCTGGATAACGAAACGGGACGTATTTTCTTGGGTTTTAATGTACACTTAACTTAATAAGTGCATCGCGGGGGGGCGGAGCATCATCGCAAATGGAATGGAAATGCTCAACTATCTACCTATTCATGTATTCCTGGGCTTCGTGTATCGCATCGTGTTCCATGGTCGTGTCTAATCTAACCGTGTGCCATGCAGCGGAGTTCCTAGTTGGTCGTTGTGGCTGGTCGATGCAAAGTTGGGCTTGGATGTATGATCAACCATCACAATGATCAGTAGACGCATCGCCTTCGAGAGCACAGGGCACAGCAGCAAAGTCAAGGGAACCGTAATCTATAATCTCTCCGTCCGAGTGCGCCATAATGACAAGCACGCCGCTGCCATGCGGCGGGCCATCAGACACTGTCCCCGTACCCCAAACTACGGCCGCCCCAATCTACTCGACTCCGCCTCCCAGACCCAGCAAAGCAAGCATCCATCCAGTTCCCACCAACGCAGTCTCGCACGGGTAGCTACGTTTCAGCTAGCCTGAAGGTAGGTAGGTAGCTATCGGATCCCCAATGACCATGGCCTCATCATGTCGTGACGATTAAAGGAAAAGAGCTAGAATACACGAGATCCCAGAGACCAGATAGTCCTGTTAGGCCCAACCTATTTAGCCGTAGAGATCGTCGTCGTTGCCGGCATCACCAAAAGAGTTGCCAGCACCGCCGCTGCCCTCAACGCCACCCTCGGGGAACTTGAAGAAGGCGCCAGGCCCAGTGTTCTTCATCTGTTGAGCAAACGCCTCGTAGCGGCGGATCTCCACATCGGTGACCGAGCGACGGGCCATCTGCATGGCCTCCTCGAAGTGGCGCTTGGTGAGCTCGGGGACCGGGTCCTCGTCATCCTCCATCTCGACGTCCTCGCCAGCAGCCTCGCGTTCCTTGGTGCGCTGGATATCAATCGAGATAGACTCCTTGATGGCCAGCTTGACGGCACGCTGGGTGATGAAACCCAGATCGGCACCAGAGAAGCCGTGCGTCTTGGACGCAATGAAGTTGAGGTCGACGTCGCCCGAAACGGGTGTCTTGCGCAGCTGGGCGCTGAGGATACCCAGACGGCCAGCCTCATCGGGTAGGGGGACGTAGATGAGCGAGTCAAGGCGGCCGGGACGGCACAGGGCAGGGTCAAGCTGCTCCGGCCGGTTAGTAGCGCCGATGACGAAAACGTTCTTCTTGGAGGTCATCCCGTCCATTTCTGATTTTTGTTGTTAGTACAATGCGAAACCTAGTTTAAAGCACAGAAGTAACTTACCGGTCAGGAGCTGGTTGACGACACGGTCCGAGGCGCCGCCAGCATCACCAACAGAGCCACCACGGGCCTTGGCAATGGAATCCAACTCGTCGAGGAAGACGACGCAGGGGGCGGCAGCGCGGGCCTTGTCAAAAATGTCGCGAATGTTGCTCTCGGACTCACCAAACCACATGGATAGCAGTTCGGGGCCCTTGACAGAGATGAAGTTGGCGGCGCACTCGTTGGCGACAGCCTTGGCCAACATTGTCTTACCCGTACCGGGCGGGCCATAGAACAGGACACCGCGCGACGGCGAGAGACCAAACTTGAGGAACTTCTCCGGGTGGTCGACGGGATACTGGACGCTCTCCTTGAGTTCCTGCTTGACGGTCTCGAGACCACCAATGTCTTCCCAGCGAACGTTGGGAACCTCGACGACAGCAACCTCGCGGAGGGCTGAGGGGTTCGACACGCCCAGGGCAAAGCGGAAGTTCTCCATGGTGACACCGAGCGAGTCGAGAACCTCGGCATCAATGGTGTCCTCGTCGAGGTCGATGAGGTCCATTTTCTCGCGAATCTGCTGCATGGCGGCCTCGGAGCAGAGAGCAGCAACATCAGAACCGACGTAACCGTGGGTCTCAGCGGCAATCTGCTCGAGGTCGACGTCATCGCCGAGCTTCATGTTCTTAGTGTGGATCTGCAAAATTTCCAGACGGCCGGTCGGGTCGGGGATGCCGATATCGACCTCGCGATCGAAACGGCCGAACCGACGGAGAGCGGGATCGATGGAGTTGGGTCGGTTAGTCGCGGCCATAACCACAACGTTGGACCGCGCCTTCATGCCGTCCATCAGGGTAAGGAGCTGGGATACGACACGACGCTCGACCTCGCCGTTCGTCTTGTCACGCTTGGGGGCGATCGAATCAATCTCGTCGATGAAAATGATGGCGGGCGAGTTTTTCTCGGCTTCCTCGAACGCTTTCCTCAGGTTGGACTCGGATTCACCGGCCATCTTCGACATGATCTCGGGACCGTTGATGAGGAAAAAGAAGGCGCCCGTCTCGTTGGCAACGGCACGAGCCATCAGCGTCTTACCGGTACCCGGAGGCCCATAGAGCAGCACGCCGCGTGGAGGCTTGATGCCGATGGACTTGAAGAGCTGGGGGTGGCGGAGTGGTAGCTCAACCATTTCACGGATCTGAGCCATCTGCTTCCGGCAACCACCAATGTCGTCATAGCCGACCTCGTTGAGGTTGTTCTCCTCTTCATCGCGCTGGATGGGCTCGCCCTCGCAGTGGATGACGGTGTCTTGAGCAACGATGCCGTACTCGGGTGGGTCGACCTCGACGACCTTGAATTCTACTTGCCTCATGCCACCGCGAACGATGAAAAGGTCACCTTGTCTAACGGGCCGGTAGGCTTCCCGGAAGTATGGGGCGAGGAAAACATCGAACAGAGACCCGGTGAGGCCCTCGATGGTATCGGCGATAGGGAGGACCGCGATCCGCTTGGCCTATTTTTTACTGTCAGATATGTGGCGACCCGGGCAGCTTGCAGAGGAGAACGTACATATTTGATATCTGGGCAAGGGTGGATAGTGATAATATCACCGTGCTTGACCCGCAGGTTGTGGCGGACAACTCGGTTGATGCGGGCACTGCCGTCATCGAGCTCGTCGTCGGCCAGGACGATCAATACGGTGTCCTTCCTCTTCTTGCCGCGGACCAGCACTGTGTCACCACGGAACAGCTGGAGGGCATCCATGGTGTTATTTGAGAGTGCAATAATCGAGTTGTCATCGTTGACAGCATCGGTCACCCTGTCGATTCTTGTTAGCTGGTGATCTCGATACTCTTATCGGAGATTCCGCCCTACATTAGCTGGTTGGGCTTCTTCTTCTTCTTGAGGATGGCGGTCGCGGTGTCATCCTCATCTTTGCGTTCAGCACCGGAGACATCGCTGTGTCAAAGTCAGCCGACCATCGCACGTCAAGCCTGAATGCATCGCCAGATATTCCACGTACGCCAAATTGACCTTCTTCTTGTGCTCGGGATGGTCGGGAGTGGGCTCGGGCGCCATCTTGCTGGACCTGAGCGCGAGCTATGCAATCGGCGGGGGGTTGGGTGGAAGAGCTGTGCTCTGGTGCGGGGTTGCGAGAAAGAGTGTTCTTTCGCAACGAGAGTGGGGGAAATGGTTGTATGGAAAGAGGTGTTTCGGAAGTTGGGTTTTTGTAATGAGGAAGAAGAGCCTTGGGTTTGGCGGTCTTCCGGTTGACTTGAAGAAGAGGTGGATGTTCAGAAGTTGCCTCCACGCTTGCTGCGGGACAACAGGCGGCAACTCAGTGACGTGCGGAGCTTGGGCGGCGAAGCCCGTGCGTTCCATCTCAGGCACCTTGGGGTCTGGCCCGAGCGTCTGACCTGACCAAGCAGCCAATGACACACGATCGCCGTGTGGAACCTTCTAGCTCGACTCTTCGACCAACTTCGATTCAAGCACGTTTGTATACCAAACACGGTCTTTCTCAGAGTCAGGTTTGCAGAAGAGGCGGTTGTCCATTCCAAAGTTAAGACGAGAGACGTGTTCTTTTCGTTGCTTTTAACCCAACGTAATCATTCATTTTTTTTTTTCTTTTTTCTTTTATGAAGAGGCGAATTCCCAATGTCAGGCGACCTTCTACTTCGCCTCCGGCCATGCCACCAGCCATCGCCTTTTATGCGCCGTCTCGGCCGTGTAGCAAGCAACCTCCAAGCGGATGACTTCTCCGGAAATACATGTTTAGGAAGCCATGAACCCACAAAAATCACAAACCCCAAGTTGGGAATCGCGACTTGAAAACTGGCCCAGTGATTTGCGTTGATGCAAGCAACCACCCACCAACCGCCGTCTTCCTCCCACAGATGTGTTATCCAAGAAGACTTGGTGGCAGCTTGGCACGAGATTTGTCATGTTTGACGACAACTTGCAGATTTTGTTTGACATTCATCGCTGACGTCTAGACTCAAACTAGTGGAGGTCAATGACGCCGGATGAACCATCACATACATCATCGCATACATCATCAGAGCAATTGCTCGCGGGCCATCCGATCTCCGAATCTCCAGACTGCGAGTAGTACTGGAGAGAAGTGGTTACCAGCGAACAGCTTCATTCCTACACAGCGTTGAAGGAAGCTTTCAAAGCTGGGGCTACCAAACTTGGAGATAGGGCCCTGGTTGATTGGGTGTGCTGCGAGTCCACCGTCTCTACATGCTTACTTATATATGCAGAGACCGCCGTCTGCTTTGCCGAGAACCTGTCACACCCGTCCCCAAAGGCCTGGAACGGTGGGAAGCACGAAGTGGCCTCCGCACCCTTGCCCCCCACACGCCCAAGAAGTCAGCCGTTGGGCAACGAAGAGCCGCATGGGAGCCCGGCAGATGTTTTATGGGGATGAGGAGGGTAGGGCTGCAGACGATGCGACCTTGTCAGACATCTAGATTCCGGCATTTTGTTATCTCCGCTCGTTTCGTCTGGTCCTCACATGTGATGTGTTTTGAGTTGTGGCTACCTTCGTCTGCGGCACGGTTGGCCTCGACCAGCGGCATCGGTTCTGCCTACTCTGGGACTGTTTTGAAGTATGGCACCTGGGGGATTGTCGCCAAACAAACCTTGCTGACGGGAGGATTTTGGTTTCAAGGCATCAGTCAACAACTTCCCTTGTTTGTGGGGGACGGAGCTTGCTCCGCCCTGGCTGGGTGTGATGTTTTCGACGCTTGAACCACACTTTGAGGACAACACTGCACAAATGACGGCGGGATTAACTACCCAAGGTGACTACGTAGTGTAGGGAAAAGGAGGAGAGTGATTGGGTTGCCCTGCCATGTGCGCACTGTGCTACGATCTCTTCACGTCGAAAGCGCTGTAAGCGGGTGCGAAGGTAGGCTAGGGGGTCACCGTGATGTAAGTGGTGACGGGGCCACATTTGGGGGGTCGTCTTGTCTGAGCTGCCGTGAGCCACCACCATCTAATTTCATCTGAGAGTTGCAACATAGCCCATAAAGGTCAGACCTAGCAGGCACCAACGCAGTGGCAGAGGATATATCAAGCAGTGGCTGGTTCCGCGTTTCAGCTGTTGATTTTAAGGAAATATATCTGCCTGAGAAGGAATCCTGTGGAATGCGCCAGCCTCAGAGCTCGTGCCATTTCACCGTCCCAACACCGGATCTAAGCGAGCTCGGCTGGAAGTTTGGTCGGTAAGGCGACAACGAACAAGCGGTGACGTTGACGAGCCGCACTCGCTGACAGAGCATGAATCAGAAATCCAGCCGTCTTTGCGATCCAGAAGGGGGGAATACCATCAACCCTGGGGTTCGAAAAGTTGTTCGGGGGAAATGTTAAACTGAGATCCCTGCAGTTCATGATTGGTTCGGCACCGAAACTGTCAGGGGATGCATGTCTCGGTGCCGAAGAACCCTGCAGGTTGTGGCGGAGGCGGGGTTGCGCACCAGGCATCAAGACGACGGTGTCCGTCCGGTCCGTCCCCCGACAGTACCTCCACACGGAAGTCAGCAGAAACGCCCGTTCTTCAAGCAAACAGAAGCTCAAATCCGAGTCGGAGATGTCGTTAAAGTTATCGTGGGGGTGGAGAGATGGCTCGGTCCGAGTGCCGATTTCCTCGATCTCGGGTCCGTTTGGGGGCCGATTTGAGATTTGTGGGGGCCAAGAGCCTCAGGAAAGGATCGTTTAGCATTTAGCATTCCAAGGGTTTAAGCTTTCACGACCGGCCTGAGCGAGATGGGCTCATGGGGCCGGGTGGTCAGATGCATGTCTGGAGATTGCAGCTATTTTCTCACCTCATTCATTTCTGCAACGGTCCTGCATCAAAATCCCTATGGGGGCCAAGACGCAAGATGGCCAATTAGGAAAGAAATTTCGAGCGCACGCCACCTGCAATTTTGGAGTCTCCTTGAGTTTATTTCTCAGTGGCTTGATGTGACCACCCACTGCCACGTTTGAGGTCTGGATCGAGGTCAAAGTTTGTGCGACAGTCTGACCCGCCTTTTTCCCGTGACTTGTCCGAGTCTGACTGTGCGTACAGGGCTGAGAGAAGGTAAGGTATTCGTAGAATGTTAGGTATGGTTCGAGGTTGTCTTCTGGAAAGAACAAGCGCCCTCTCCCCCCTTTCCCCGAGAACCAGAGCACGGAAGGAACTACCAAGTTAGGTTGGCAACCTGGAGAGTCGGATGCCAAGTATTCTTGGGTATGGAAGGAAGATTGCCAGTTTGGGAACCCTAACACCAACCTTCCGCACGCCAAAGCGCGACCTTGGAATCTTCTCTTGCCTTGCAAATCATTGTTTGGCAATTGGCATGCTCTGAAACCTGCATCCCGGCCATCTCCTTCATTTTTTCCCACCGTCCATTCTCTCTCCCCACAGTTCTCTCTCACGCGCGCGCAACCTTTCTGTAAGCGAGGGAGCTTGGTCGTAACATCGCTCTGTTGCTCCAATTCCCGCAATATCCGCTCGCACCAGGCAGTCCCTGGAAACAGGAAACAAGCAACTTGGTGCTTCGCCGTTCTGCCCACGTTTCCCCCCTCCGCGGTTCATCTATTTCCCCTTCGCACCCAGCCGTCCGGATTGGTTGGTAAGCGCTCACGGTGCCACCGGAAAATGCAGGTCAGCTTGTAGAGCTTACCTTGTAGTGTAGGCCTTATTGCGAGAGGTGGCAGAGTACCTACCCTACATCGACCTAGTCCACCCATTCGACACTCACTGCTACGGTGTAGGCAGGTGCTAGCCCCCGACTGGCTCCGGCGATAAGCCGCGTTAATCCTCTCTCATCAGCCCCTGTCCCTCCTAGGTTAGTGGCCCAGAGACCTGCTAGCAAGCCCGGCCGGATCCTCTGCCCCCCTGCGGCACATCTGCGCCATGTGTCTCCGTACCGAGAAAGTCGGCGCCTGCTTGGCACCCCTCTGGTCGCGGGGAGCACCCGCAAGTTCCAAGGCCCCAGTCTTCCCGGGATAGGCGGAGCACGAGGACGGCAGGCAGTGGTGGTCAGATCCTTGATGCCAGTCTATCTGATGTGTAACACACCCCGTTGGCGGTGGTCAGTGGGAGCGGCAACATTTTTTTTAAAAAAAGTCGCCGGTAGCAGCGCTTATATGGATAGGATTGACCGCCACCTCGCGTACCCCACGGTCCTCTCTCGGCAAAACTCATCATCATTCTGAACCACTCGGTCGGACGCGGAGAAAGAAGGGACTGCTGCTGCGTCAGGGAGCAGAAAGAGCTGGGGAAATCCGAGCCAGCGGTAGGAAAAAGCAAAGAGGGTGCGCCGACCCATCCAATATGGGGCTCGACTCGGACTCGGCCGCATCAAGCACTCGACCCCCGCAATCTGGGAGGAAAGGGTCCAAGAAGGTCCGGACCGGCTGTATAACATGCAAGTGAGTATTAAGCCAACCTCATATCGTCGCCATGCCTCCCCGGTCCTCATCTCGATCGGCCACTCGTTTCCGGGGATTTTGTGCGCCTCTCGCGGGGGGGGGGAGGGGACAGGAGGGGAGAGGGAGGGGGCAGACGGCAAGCTCATGGTAGCGCGAAACATCATTGCTGACCTCGGACTCTGCTTCGTGGTGGGATAGGATCCGCAAAGTCAAGTGCGACGAAGCAAAACCTTTTTGCATGCGTTGTACCAAGACGGGCCGCAGGTGTGATGGCTACCTCGACGCCAAAACCATGGCGCAACGGCGGCGCCGGTCTGCTGGACCGATAACCAGCAGCGTGGGTGAGCCACAAGCGCCACTGGCGTTGTTCTACGACTGGGCATCCTCAGACGAAAGGAGAGCCTTCCACTTCTTCCAGCACATCACCGCACCTTGTCTGTCCGGGGACCTCGACGGCGCCTTCTGGCGGGTATTAGTGCTCCAAATATGCCAGTCCGAGGCCGCCGTACGACATGCTGTACTCGCCGTGAGCAGCCTCCACGAAGGGATGGTGCAGGCGACAATGACCCCCTACCTCAACGCCGAAGACCGGAACTCATTTGCCCTGTATCAATACAACCGGGCCATCGCCTGTCTGCTGGACCAGATGCGCACCGTCGACGCCAGACCGCTGGTCCCCCTCCTCACCTGTGTGCTTTTCGTGTGCATTGAGCTCATGCAGAGCAAAGACAGGGAATCACTCCTCCACCTTGAACAGGGCCGTCAGATCTTGAGCCAGCTGGGCCGCAAATGCCCGACACGGAACCCCGAGATCGACCTTATCAGGCAGCACCTGGTACCCATGTATACCAGGCTCAGCTTGACATCGCTCATGTTTGGCGGCGAGCCCGTAGAGATACCGACGCCGCTCAAGACGCTGACCGAGGTCCCTATGATGTTCGAGACGATCGACGAGGTCCGGTACGCGCTCTACGATTTTATGGACCAATGTCTCCGGTTCGCGAAGACGACACGTTTGGCCAAACTCAGCGAGATTCCCTCGGAGCAGATGCGGGCATTTGAAAAGGAGCAGGACCATCTACTGAGGAAACTAGCCAAGTTTAACGTCGCCTTCTCCCTATACCGGTCGACGAAATCCCGCGGTCGGCTGGTGGGCCCGATTGCCCTGATACAGATACACGTCCACGCCACGTTTATATGGGTTTCGACGGCCCTCAGCCAGCACGAGACGGTGTTTGACGATTACGTCGATACTTTTTCAGCCATCATCCCGCTTGCGACCGATTTCATCAACTCGCTCAGTGCGCCACCGGCGCATCCGGAGCAACACGGCGGACCGGGCGCCCCTGGGCCATCAGCAGCCGACACACGGCGCTTCGCGACCGTGTTTACGTTTGAAATGTATATCATCGCCCCGCTCTACTTTGTAGCCGCCAAGTGCCGGCATCCGATCATCCGGCGGGCGGCGCTGGACCTCCTCCGGCGGAACCCAACGCGGCGCGAGAACCTCTGGCGGGCCAACGTCATGGCCGCCATCGCAGAGCGGACAATGCGGATAGAGGAGAAGCACTTGCGACCGAACAGCCTGCCCCACTCTCGGCAGCCCTCGCCGCCCGAGTTGCCGGGGCTCTTCCCCAATTCTTCGGTTCTCGGACAGGATCCGTGGGACAGCCAAATGTCGGAAGCGCCTTTTCCGGACAACTTCTGGATCGATAACCGTTGCCCAGCCCGTCACGTCTTCGTGCTCTGTCGTCTTCGGCTACGGGCAGCGCCGAGGCGGGGAGCATGAGCGATATGGCAGGGCACATGCCGATCGACCCGACACTATTTTTCGACCCGGCCGAGGGGTCAGGGAGCCATTCCTTCAGCGTCACGCCCTCGGTTGCCTCCTCGCTCGACGATCTTACCGGCCCTGCGACATCGACGCCATACATGGGCGGGTCCGGTGACGGCTCATCCGAGCTGTGGAGCGGCACGACGTCGCTCCCGCCGCCCGGTATCTCGCTCGAGCCGGCCACTCCTCTGGATGCCGGTCCTTTCATGATGCCCCTACAGGCGCACTCCCATCGCCCTCAGACGCATCCCAATTCCCACTCCCGACAGCAGTCCGGATCGCCGTCGGTGGCGTCGGACGATTCCCCGCAGCTCCAGTCGATGAGCATGGACATGGGACCGGGGTCGGGGCAAGGGATGCACATAGCCGGCTTCATGCAGCACCAGGGCCTGAGCGTGGGCCAGCTGAGCCCGGTCACGGGACAGCGCAGCGCGGATGCGCCGTACGACGTGCCGGAGCGGTTCCGCGTGCGTGAGTCGATCATCGGGCGCCTTAGGGGGGTTTGGACAGAGCAATCAAAGATCACCTTCGTTCTTTGGAAGTATTTAAAGTCTCCCTGCGGTTCCCCCTGTTTCTCGCGAATGAAGCGGGGGGGGGGGGGGGGGGAAGCAGCGGTTGGCGCAGGCCCTTACAGTGTAGGGGTTCCATGCTGCAGACTGCACTTCCCGTATCTTACAAACAAATATTTAACTAATTTTATACGTCACATATTCTTGAAAATACGTAGTCCAGCATTGTCACGGTGTCCAGCAGAATGTGGGCTCACTTCACTTACACGGCCCCCTTGCCTTTGCCCCACAGTCCGGAAGATGCGGGAGTTAGTTAGTTAGTCAAGCACACGGGCTGGACCTCGAGAAAGCCGGGCAGTTCTCAAGTGACATCAACCGCCACCGAAGCTTGCACCTGACTTTCTCACTCACGCACACTCATTCATATCTGAGCTTAAGACCGCGCTCACTCCCGACAGAGAAACACCGAGAATCTCACTCCATTACTCGCAATTTCATTGCCGAATAGTTACACAACGTCGACCATTTGCTCCTAAGTTCTCCTCGGCCAAAGCTCTGCTACACATTCGTCTACGACACTGTGTAAGGATGTCCCAGCCACAGCAGAACTCTCATGCACCAGAAGAAGAAGTGATTCCCGTCCCCAAAGTAGGGGATCGCGCCCCATCTCTGGGCAAGGATGTCCAATTCCCTCAAGACAAGCCCGTGCTGGTTGTCTTTTTGCGCCACTGCGGCTGTCCTTGTAAGTCATTTTCGGAGTCAAACCCACTATTTCTACTCATTTTTGTATCAAGCAGTTGCTTGATAAGAGCGAGACTGTAAGTTAACACGAACGGTTGTTGGTCCCAGTCGCCGAAAAGACATTCAAACTCCTCACCGACCTCTCCAACCACCACCCCGAAATCCACTGCGTCGCTGTCTCGCAGTCGAACCAGGAAGAAACAGATAAGTGGTACACCCCCCCTCCCCCCCTCTCCCTCTCTTTTCCATTCCCCTCCCCTCAACCAAACTAACAACCCCCCCCTCCCTCTCCTCAACAGGATCGTCCAAGTCGGCGGCGAGTGGGAAGTTCAGGTCCTCGTCGACCCCCAGCGCGCCCTCTACCACGCCTGGGGCCTGGGTCTGAGCTCGACCTGGTATGCTGTCAACCCGATGGCGCTGTGGCGTACGTGGAAGCTGGGGACCGAGGAGGGGATTTGGTACGTTCTGTTCTTCTTCTTCTCCCGCCTACCTAACTCCCACTCCGTTCGTTGGTCTTCTTGGGATCGTTTGTTGTTGTTACTGTTGCTGACGAGGTTGGTATGTTGGGGATAGGAACCGGAGTGCGCAGAGTGGTAGTCGGTGGCAGATTGGGGGGGCGTTTGGGGTGGATGCGGAGGGGGTGGTGAGGTGGTCGAGGCCCGCGGGCAGTGCGGATGAGGTGCCGGATTTTGGGGAGGCGTTGAGGCTGTTGGGGGTTGAGTAGGGGGTGGTTTGGTCTGGGGTTGGTTAGGGGTTTGGTCGGGGTTAGTTTGTCTTGATCTTATTGTATGGGTTTTGTTGGAGTTGACCTGGGGTGTGAGGTGTATTGGCTAGGTTGCGATGGAGTTCCGATAGGTATCTCCATGGCGTTCTCTCAATGGTGAATGGTAGCTTTAGTGATAACATCACAGAGTAATTTTGAGAAGACGTCCCCTTTTACAGCCTCACAGCCTCCGAAAAACCTCCTCAATGGCACCCGCTACCCTCTCCACGATCTCAGCGACCAGCTTGGCCGAGATAGTGTACGCCGGCATGATCATGATATGATCCCCCCGTCCTCCCCCAGCACACCCCTGGCCATGGTACACTAACACCTTAAATTCCCTCACCGCCGTCTTTCTGCACCTCTCGGCCACCCCGAGCCCCGAGCTCAAACAGACTCCTTGGTCCCCCTATCCTTCACAAACTCCACGCCCCAAAACAACCCCTTCCCCCTCACATCCCCCACATTGAGATGCGTCCCCAACCGCTCCCGCAACAACCTCCCCAACAGCTCCCCCTGCACCCGCACATTCCCCAACAAACCCTCTCTCTCCACCGCCCGCTGCACCGCCAGCGCCGCCGCCGCCACCACAGGATGATTCTGGTACGTATGCCCATGCGTAAACACCCTCCCCTCCCGCTCCATCAACCCCGCCACCCTCCCGCCGACCAACAGCGCCGACGCCGGCACGTACCCGCCCGCAAACCCCTTCGCCACCGCCTGCAGATCCGGCACCACCCCCATCCCCATCCCCTCCCCAGAAAGAGTTTCCCCCTCCCCCTCCCCCTGCCAGGCATGCGTCCACCCGGTCCGTCCCATCCCGCACATGACCTCGTCCAGCACCAGCAGGGCGCCGTGGCGCGCGCACACCGCCTGCATGGCGGCCAGGTAGCCGGCGGGGGCGGGCATGCAGCCGAGGGCGGCGCCGACGACGGGCTCGAGCACCACGGCCGCGACGGTGTGCGGGCCGAGGTGGGTGAAGGCGGCTTCGAGTTGGGCGGTTTTGTGCGCGAGGTAGGCGGATGGGGATGTTGTGGGGGGGGTGGTGGTGTCTTCTTCGCGGTAGGGGTTGCAGGCGGGGATGTGGTGGAAGTGGGCGGGGGAGAGGAGTGGGTGGAAGGGGGCGCGGCGGGCGTGGTCTGAGGGAAGGGGGGAGGGGGGGTTAGTTTGGTGGGGTATGGTATGGTGTTGGTTGTGTTGGGGAGTGCTTACGGCCTGATACGGAGAGGGACCCTAGCGTGGTGCCGTGGTAGGAGTCGAGGCGGGCGATGAAGTTCACACGTTCGGGCTCGCCTTTCCAGCGAAAGTACTCGACGGAGAGTTTTAGAGCCGCTTCTATCGCCTCGGAGCCTGGGAGAGCGTTAGTTCAGTTCAAGTAAGGTCTAAAGAGAGAAAGAACACTCACCGGAGCACATGACATAGACTTTTTGCATCTGGCCGCCGGTGCTCTTAATGAGCCAGTCTGAAAGCTCCTGGACGGGTGTGGTCTGGAAATGGGCGTAGGAAGCGTACGTGTACGACTCCATCTGGGCCGTCACTGCTTTGGCAATGTCCCGACGGCCGTGTCCGAGGCAGGCCACAGCGGCCCCCCCACAAGCATCGAGGATCTTGGGACCCTTGGTAGGGTACCAGTAGTGGCCCTTGGCTTTCTTCAATACGGGGAGACCATCGACGACCGTCTGGGGATGACCCAAGTCTGAAGTTGACTCGGTTATGTCGTGCTCGGTTTTACGGGGAAGAATTCGGTTCCCCGACTTGGATGGCGACGAGAGGAACTGGCCCATCTTGATATATGGAGGGGGTCCTGACTAGGGAAAAGCGAAGCCTCTACGGACGCCGAAGCCTCGAGGTCCAAGCAGCGGAGCCGAGACATGGAATATCTCTTATAGCTCTTCACGAGCAAGAGAATCGTTCCACTCCTCGCCCATTTCCCACTTTTCCTAGCCGTCATTAGCCAACACCACGCTTCACCGTGACAATCCCGTCTGCTCCATTTCGGCAGTGGCGCCGACGCGGGTACCACTTGGCGATGCCGATGGACTCTCGTCCCGCACGGGCGGTGGTCAGCCGCTCACGCCCACGCCGGTGTGAAAGACAAGGGTAGCAGCAGGATCGGCTTCAGCAAGCCGTTGGCCACATGCAGAGCCATGTGGGGGGCCGTTGGTTGCTGCAGATGGCTAAGAAACTTCATGATGGATGTTGTATTACAACCATACTACATCCAGGCTAGAAAGGCCAAGGGCGGAAGGGCAGGGGGGTGTGTCGTGTTAGACAGACTCACAGAACGGAAGCACCGGGTGGCAAATAGTGACTTGTCTCACCCGAGGGAAGTTCTCGAAAGAACCCGGGATGCACAGCCTGGTCGCATCAACCCACGCGCGGGCCACGAATTGTGACGTTGGCGGACAGGGGAGCTGAGTGAAGGTGGTATAGATGGAGTTCCGGATAGATGATGGAACCAGGGGGCCGCAATACTACGTCTATCGCATTGACAACACTGACACCGGCATTGGCACTGACACCGCACGCACATTGACACGGCCTGTCCTCCGTTACATTGCCATGTCCCTGATGATCCCACTTTCTCCCTCCAAAGAAGGTGAGAAGGGGGGGGGTTACGTCGACGGCAAACCGCCAACCGCCAACTGCCAACCGCACAACCGTGTTCGCTCCCCCAAGGACTCCAACCTCCGCTTCACCGACTAGCCAACCAGCCAAACCAAGTACCGGACCGGTATGGGGGTCATCCAGACTCGGCACGGAAGCGGCACCCAATCGGGGCCCGTCACATTGGCCGAACCCGAGCTTCCCGTTTCGGGAGACGTGTTAGTGACGGCCCAAAAAAACTACCTAGTGTACATGCATCGCGAAAAAGGCGTGTACGAAAAAAAAAGCGTGCCGAGGCCGATATGCCGAATCCGGGGACGGGAACACAAAACTCGCACAGATTCCGCTGCCCTGCCCGCTTGCATGCCCCTCGCGTGGTGCCGCGTGTGCAACACTACTACCCCCCTCCATCCCTCCCCCCACCAACTGCGTGAGTTGGGTGGTTGTGCCCAGAGTGTCGGGTCCCAACACGGAGTTTGGCCCGTTGGCAGCCGCGAGGTGTGCAGGGGGAATCGTGAATCAAACCACAACAGAAGTGCGAAGTATGTACCTCTCGGCCACGTTTACGGAGGCCGCCTGTAGATATAGAAAAATTGTACTCTGTATCCGTAGACCGACTGACCAACTAGACACCTAAAGCACAGAGGGATGACAGGTGTCAGAGTGGTAAAAACAAGGGTGTGGAAGAGACGGAGACGGAGACGGACGGATGCAAGTAAGCTTCCTCCCTTGGTCACAGCAACCTCAATCCGTCAGACCGCCAGCAAGCCAAAACCAAAGCCAAGTAACTGGCCGGCCCTTCCCGAAGCTAGCAAAAGGACCGGTCAAAACATGTCGAACCGTCACATCAGAGCCAGGCAAGGCGAAAAAGGCCATGCCGAGAGATGCGGGCGGGAAGAAGCCCTACTGGCCCGAGCGCTTGTCGACTTATCATCGGGCCGAGCCATGCAACGGGGGGGGGACGCCGTGTCAGCCGAAGCGGTGACCGTTCCGGAGCTGGATGACGACCTGAATATCAAGATTCGGCTAGCTTCTAGAACCACATCATGTAGGAACACAGCTGAATATGACGATGGGTCTCGGCAATAATGGAGACTAGCCACTTGGTAGGGTGAAGACAGGCTTAGATTATGGGATACTACCTTTCGTCCCTCACCGACTCCTGAGCTAGGACGCTTCAGACCCTTGGCCACACGTTGACCGCAACGAGAGGACCCTGCTCTCCACGCGACCTCGTCTGACAGGGCCCATTGGCGGGGTGTTCTCGATCCTGCTTTACCACCTCTGCATCCGCAAGTTGCACATGTACATACCCCGGCTCGATTCAGGGTCTCACGACAGACTCGCAGGAGGGTACTCAGGGCCTTCCCACCACGACCAAACCCAACTCCAATTCCAACTGAACGCACAAGATCACAGCAAGTCCCTCAAACCTTCAAGCAAGCGAGGACCAAGGACAAGACGTGCGTTGGTGCGTTGGTGCGTGGGGAGATAAACCATGCCATCATATCAGCTACCACATCTTCCCTCAGTAACTACCCATAACATAACGGGACAGTCCCCAAGCCACCGCCGACCGACCGACGGCCGGGGGGAAAAAAGAGTGACAGGTTAAAAAAGAAAAAAGGAATGCATCACTAAAAGGCTGAAACGTATCCTCGTACCCGCAAAGGAAAGCCCAGCCAGCATCATACATCCATCACCGTCACCATCACCACCAGTAGGTAGTCAGCCTTTGCAAAACAAGCGAACCCGCCCCCTGCCCCCGTACTCCGCCAAAAACACACACACCAAAAAAGCCAAACCGACCCGAGCCAGAACGAGAATAAGAACAAGAAGCAAGAACCACCGCCGACCCGATTGCGAAATAATGCCTAGCCAGTAACGTTCCTGACGCCGGTACTGCTGCTGCTGCTGCTGCTGCTGTAGCTACTACTTAGTGATGACCGATGACCCGACCTCCCTTCCCTCCTCTTCCGCCCCTAACGATATTTCAAACAGCCGAACCCAGAAACAGAAACGGTACCTACACAGACGCCACCAATCCCTCCACTCCACGGTAAAAGTAAAGGGGAAAAGGGAGGGGAGAGCAACGCAAGCAGACCGGGTAGTGATATGAGGTTAAAAAAAAAAAAAAGAAAAGTAGGTAGTCCCAAAAATTCAGCTAGGAATAACCGGCGGACGGGTTGATTTTGTCGAAACAGTTCACTGAGCCACAGCACAGCGCGCTTGCTAAGAGCTGCCGCTGGTGGACAAGTCGCCGTTCGACGCAGGCTGGACCTGCTTGCCGTGTCCGACGGGAGCGTGATAGCTTCCGATGCTCTGAAAACCCCTATGGCGCAGGCAGTGTTAGTCAATCGGCTCTTGCATTGCCACTTTATTTTTCGGTCTTGGATGCAGCGTATTTCGCAGGGTAAGCAAGCACACTCACTTAGTCAGATCAAACCCGCCGTCGTCCTCCTCGCCCGCAGGGCTCGGCGGCTCGTCCACTGGCGTGCGGCTGCTCCGCCGCGTGGGGCTCGGCGGCGCCGGGGACTTGCTCCGCGGCGGGCTGCTGCTCGGGGCCGGCAGGCCGCTAGGCGCCTTGGAGGGGCTCAGGTCGAACGGCGCGTGCACGGGCTTGAGCGGGGTGCTCCCAATGTCGGCGTACTTCCAGAATGGTGCCGGTGAACTAGTCGGCATGTGCTGGCTGGGCCGTTGGGCGGTGCTCGGCGGGGCGAGCTTGGGGTGCACTCGGAGCGGAGCCGGCGTGACAAACGACGCACCGTCGTCTTGCAGGTACGACGACGTCAGTGTCGGTGATCCCGGAGCGTTCTCGACCAGCCCCAGCGTGCTCGACGTGTTGGCCTTCCGTGCACGCGGGAGGGGGCTGTCATCCCCACCGGCGCCGGCTTCGTCGGGCAGCGGTTTCCGTATCGGACGCACAGGGGTCATGTGCGAGTCCCGTAGCTCCCGGAGTGACGAGCGGGGTTGGGGTGACCCCGACGGCGACACCTTTCGCTTGCGCGCCGAAACGGGGTCTCTCGCTGCCATGTCCCTCGGCCCCGAAGTGATGTAGCTTAGCTGGCTTGGCGACGACGGATTCGAGGAACCACGATGGCCGCCGCGGCCTCCTCGCCATGCTGTGCGCAGCATCTCCTCTCGGGACTCGGCAACGAGCTGCCACTTCATGCCTTTGCCGGGCTCATCCGTCGAACGCGCAATCTTCTCGAATGCTTTATTCAGGGACAGATTGTGCCGAATCGAATTCTGTGCGAGGTTAGCTCCGTGTAACATGGGATACGAAGAAAGAACTTACCTGCCAGCCGGTAGCGGGCTGATTTCTGTAGTACGCATATCGTGTTTGAATATAGTGGTAGATGCCGGCCAGGTTAAGCTTCTGCTCCGGCGTGTTCATAATCGCTTGTGTAATCATTTGTGCATAACTAAACTGGGGCTTGATGTGTCGATTTTCCTCCAGACTCAAATCAACATCGCTGTTGCTCATCATCAGCGGCCCGGCACCGTGTTCGATAAGCGGCGTCTTGGCCGTCGTCATGGCGCGGGCGCGAGCCGAAGGGGGGGTACCCGGCCGTTTGTAGTCCGGCGGGGCCGGGGCAAGGGGCTTCTGGGAGCTTTGGCCGCGGGACGACTTGGTCGGGGAGCTCGTGTGGATGCCGTCGCCCGACGGCAGGGGATGGCGTGTCGGCCGCGCGGGGGTCGCAGAAGGCTCCGGCTTGACAATGCCGGCCCGCTCTAGGAACTGCTGGGCGATCTGAAGTGGGCCTAGGTCGATGGGGAGGACAAACATCATTTCCACGCCACCAACTTCGATGACCTCACCACTCCGTAGGGGTCCAGCCTGGCCAGCCTTCCACAGCGAGCCATCCACCTTGAGCGAGTTGCGCCCCTTCACGAGTAGCCACCATTTCTCCTGGTCGCGGTTGAAGTAAACTACGGCGTGGAGCCGCGAGACAAGCTTGCTGGGGCCCAAATCAATGTGTATCGCGTCGGGGTCCTCCTGATTTTGATCGGGGTCCTTCTGGTTCTGATCCGCTCGGGCCTGGGCGGGGTCGGACGAGCGGCCAATGTTGACAGTCAGCCTCGTGATGTAGTAGGTCCAATCCAAAGCGGCGATCTTGGCATAGGCCTTCACTCCCTCCTTGTTCGCCTCGTGGATGCTATTGGCGTGGTCCTTGCTGGCTTGCACTTGCGCCGCGGGAGCTAGCAAATGCTGGCTTACCCGGGTCACAAGCTGGTCGTCGTCTTCGATTGCGGACTGATCGGCGAGGTGAGACGAGTCGCCTTCATCGACGGGTTCGGAGGTCTCGGTTGTTTCGGCGGCTTCATCATTCTACCAAAAACACATGGTTAGCGCATGAAGTAAAAGTAAAGGGGTAGCAAAACCGTAACCACAGCTATGGGTGAACGGCGAAGCCGAGGTCGAGGTCGAGGTCGAGGTCGAGGTCGAAGTCGAGGGCTCGCGACCGAGGGGCACGGGACATCCTTACCTTTCTGCGCCGTTTTGAGGGGCGGGACGGCGAAGATGACTCGGCGATCGCATCGCTGCGCAAATCACGGCGAACGCGTTGCGCGCGTTTAGTAGGCGTGGGCATTTTGTATCGCGCTACACCATCAGGTGTGGTATCGTGGGGGAGGGGTAAAAAGAGTTGCTGGCTGGGTAAGTATATTTGGTGACGAGCTTGAGGTGGGAGCTTTCGTTGCCCGCTGCTGAGCTTGGTAACGAATGCGACACGGTATATTCTTGCGCGCAATGTCTAAAACCGGTTGAGATATAAATTGGTTGCTTAACAGCGACTATCCGAGATGGCGTGGCCACAATGGTGTGTCGTTGCACGGGTTACTAACAAAGCCGAGCTGAATGCGATTGCGAGCTTGGTTTGGGACAGAGCATGCAGAACTTGGTGAGTTCCAGGTCCAAGTTGTTTAATTGACCTGGGATTTTCGCGCCTTGAACGCGAGGAAGGGACAGAGGGGTCAGTGGCCAATCAGCCGAGTCTATTCGTTGAACTTAGTGGGGCAAAGTGGGGATTCACGTGCGGTGCAACTGCACAAGCTCGTCATGCTACAAAGGGGACTGCGCTTCCCAACCCCCCCTCTTCCATTTTTCCCAAGTCCACCGAAGTCAACAAAGGAGGGTTCGGGCGCATGCAGATTTGCATTCAGGGTGTATCATTGTTTAGGCAAAGCATATGTTTCATGCAGATAAAGAAACTCGGAATTCGAGGTCTCAGCCCTAAATCTGCATGCACCTTAAACTAGCGGGCTCGAGTTAGTTCTGTTGTTGGTTTTGTCCCCTGTGCGCCGAATATTTTATTGATTGTTCGTGGAAAATCCACCTGGAGGATCAGATCAAGGGAACCCACGCCCTCCGGTTCACCCAGCCACCTCAATTGATAATCACACCTTGAATCCTCATGACAAGTCCCGACGAACATAAAAATAGAAATAATTTTAAAGGGATGAAAGGTGACGAAAACTGCAGCGAGACTAGAAGAGAGATCCCGAAATCACATGTCTTATTTACTTACTTCTCTACAGGGCAATGGAGGGGCAGACCAAATCACCACCACAGCGCACCCACCCAACCATACCCACCATCGTCATATATGAAAAAAAGCCCTGCTTCCCGTTCGGCACACCAACTACGAAACAACAGAAAGATTGTAGAGTGAAGATGTGTTCCATTAAATCGCCAACGGCCAACCACCGTCGCCCCATGCAACAAACAGTAACAGCAACAGAAACAGCAACAAGTCACCAAATTCCTCCTTCCACTTATTGCCTTTTGCCCACCTGCCACCACCCATCCGCCCACAACCTGTCAGCCCCAAGTTTCTATCTAGAAAAGCCGTGATGATGATAAGGTAAGAAGAAATGAGACACCGCCCCGGCTTTTTTGCTTTTGTCCGCCCCTTATCCACGCCCCGTGATGAAAATGAAAACACAACGGCAAATGCTAAGCCGCCCGCCCACCTCTACCACCTCCACCACCGCCCTTCCCAAATCCACCTCCCTATTTTTTTGGTTTCCAATGCCGCCGCCCCACCTAACCAGACCTATATTTACATATTTGGAGAGACACAAGCACTCGCATAACCCTCGCCTTCGAGGATACCGTGCGTTCAGGAAATGCACCACGCCACACAAACCTAGACGTGCCCGGCCGGGCGTATGGAATCAACACGGCAGGTCACTTGACCAGCCGACTACTTAAGCACTCCCGCCAGTAGCGCCACCCCTCCTCTTGGGGTTCCCGCGCCCGGCACGCTTCTTCCCGCCGGCACCACCGCCACCAGTCTTCTTCTTGTCCGTGCCCTCAATGTACCGCACGAGCTCGTCGATGGTGCGGCCGTCCATGGACGGCGGCGGCGTCGGCTTGCCAGCGAACTCGGTCGCCGCCGCGCCAGTAGCGCCAGTCGCGCCGACGCCGACGCTGACACCGCGCGAGGCAAACCGGTACCCGGCGCGGGCGCGGCGCGCCTGGAGATCCTTGGCTTGCTTGGCGATAGAGACAGCGTTGTGCGTGAGCTGCTCGAGCCAGTGCTCGGCCTCTTTGGTGTTCTTATCCTCGGGTCCAAGGGAGGCACGGAAGATGTTGTAGCTCTCGCGCATGCGGTCGACGGCGGCCTTAGAGTCTTGATCGAGGGCGAGGGCCTGCGCAAGCTGGAAAAGGAGCGTTGCCGAGTTGATAGACTGGCGGCCAAAGACCTTCTCGCAGACGCGGAGCGACTCCTCAAACCAGCGGCGGGATTCGTGGTACGCCTTGAGGCTCTGCAGCATGACGGCGTAGTTGTTGATGGTGGTAATCGTGTCCGGGTGGTCCGGGCCATAGATGACCTTCCAGATGTCAAGCGCGTGCTTGGCGTAGCCGAGAGCGAGCTTGCTGTCGCCGCGCTGGTGAAGGAAAAGGCTCAGGTTGAGGTAGTTGAGCACCGTCTCGGCCGAATCGAGGCCGACTGTCCGCTCGGCGACGATAGCGGCCTTCTTGGCCAGCTCCACGGCAGCGTCCTTCTGGTCGAGCTGGAAGTACAGCTGAGAGAGCGTGTGGTACATTTGAGCAACCTCGGGGTGAACAAGGCCATAGATCTGCTCGTGCAGAGACAGCGACTCGAGGAGGAGGTCCTCGCCGAGCTTCCGCTGGTTCTGGTAGATCGACAGGCGGCCAGCCTCCAGTGCCTCCTCGGCCAGCGCGCTGCGCGGGCACGAGTCCTTGATGATGGGCACGATATTGACAAAGTCATCAGGGCTGAAAGTGTGCGGCGCAACAACGGGCGACGCCGTGGTAGAAGGCGACCCATCGCGGGACTTCTTCTTGTTCTTCTTCTTTGCCGCAGGCTCGGCCTGTGGCTGGCCGTTGGTCTGCGGCGCAGGCTCAGGCTCAACGGACTGAGTGAAGCGGAACTTCTTGATCTGGATCTGGAGGCCGAGCTTCAGGGAAATCTCACGGAGTAGCTGCAGATGCCTAACCTGGCTCCACCAGCTATCTGGCAGGACAAATCGGAACCTGCGAGCAGCCTCGCTCTGGACTTCTTCCCTCAGACCCTCGGGGGTAACCTTCTCGAATGCGAGATCAGCCTCGTCGAAAAGCGAACGGTACGACTCGTCGATCTCGGCCACCGGCTTGGGGTTTAGCTCTGTCCCTAGCAAGCAGTTGAAGAGGTGTGAGAAGCAAGACGAAGTAAGCGGCAGAGGCAGCGTCTTAAGGTACTTGGCGGCGACGTGCTTGAACGATCTCGCGATCATCTCGCGGACGCAGACATCACGGAAGCACTCCAGGCGAGTGTTTTCGCTCAGCGACGCCAGCTTGCCGAGGTACCGCAGATTGATACCGCGGCGATGCAGAAGGGAGGTGAGCGAGCGACCATCCATCGGGAAGCTGATGTCGGACTCGTTCAGATCCCGAATAAGGGCGGGAATGACGGTATCACGGAGGTAGGTGCAGGCATCGCGAACCTCCTGCTCATCCTTGGCCATTTCCTCCTTTTCCTCGTCGGTCTGAGGGTTCTGGCCGCTAAAGGTGTCGGGGTTCAGGGCGAACTTGAAGTTCGACATGTCGATTCGCTCGTTCTCCGTCTTTTCCTCCTCCTCCTTCTTCTCCTCGCCCTTCTCCTCGCTTGCGTCGGCCTCCTCGCCCTCGGCCTTGCCTTCTTCGCTCTTCTCCTCGGCCTTCTCCTCCGGCTTTTCCTCCTTGGGCTCCTCAACTACGTCCTGCTTCTTCGAGGCCGCACGCTTTTGCAACTCGGCGTTGACGAAGTCGCGAGCCTTCTGCTTGCCCAAGGCCTCTACTAGCTCAGGTCGCAGGACGGTCATACGATGGGGGTACTCGGCACCCTCGGGGCTGTTCTCCTCCATCCAAGTGATGTCCAGCGGCGTGATGCGGTACAAATCCAGGACGTACTTGCGACCGTCAGTGCCAAGGAGGCCCTTCATCTCGACGCTAGCCTCCAGGTCGAAGCGTTTGTTGTCCTTGTCCCACACAGCGTGCTTCTTGACGCGCAATGCTTGTGCGAGTTTCTCAAACGAAGGGGCAAAGCTCTCGTCAGCAGCAACAATGTCCTTGCCATCGACCGCCGCCGTAGTGGAATCTGGTTCTCACCAGGCTCAGGCTGCTTGAAAAATGCGGGGGACAATGCTCCTGGCCGACAATGCGCTTGCCCATGTAGTCAACGACGACTGTGCCGGGGGTGTACAAACCGTCGATGTCGAGCTGGTTCACGAGCTTGACACCATGGACGTCCTTCCCGGTAGCCACGCGCGCAGCCTCGTCGCCGCCCTCGCTAGTGAAGGTGCCGACGCCGTCAGCGCCAAAGGAGAAGAAGACGTTGTTATAAACGAAAATCTGAGCATCCCGTCCTTCAGTTGGGTTGAGCGGAGCAACCTCGCCGCGGGCAACCAACACCGCACCGCGAGCCGCAGCATCGTTGTAGTCGGCATATAGCTTGGCGAGCAATCGTTCCCGGAAAACACGATCCTGGATCGAGTCCCTGGGAAGCTCCTTGGCAGATTGGAACTCCTCGTTCCAGTCTCTCAGCGAATCCGTGTTCTCGGCACCGCCCAGCAGGAAGGTTTCCTGGGGTCTTGTCGGATCGGAGATGTGAGCACATAGCGGCGAGGTGGCTGATGGCACAATCCAGGGGGCTGAGGGGACCGTGTTGCCGATCTGAAATGTCGCCAAGGGTTCCTTGGTGTTTGCGGACTGCTGGAGCTCGGCAAACGACTTCGCGAACGAGGTCGAAATCTTGTCGAGGAGGGTGAAGAGAGAGTGAGCCGAGGCGCCCTTGGCATCGGTCCGTGGTGTAGGGTTGAACTTGTCCTTGTTCGAATTGTTGATGAAGAACCCCCCGGCGTGCCCAGTCACATGGTGTTGCTCACCCTCGTTCGTGGTGATAGCGAGGTAGAGAAGGTGACCTTTTTGCCTCCACTGGGCCGGTGGCGGGTTCCACGACGACAGTGTGATCAACTTAACGGTTTTAGGCGCAGGCGGTGTCTCTTTGGGAAGGAGAACGGAGAGTTCGGGGGTCGTGGTAAAATCGTAGGGCTGGACCTCCTTCTCGGCCTCCTCGGCGGCGGCAGCCACAACATCGTCGTGAATCGAAGTACCAGCGAGAATGCCCTGGGCCGTGTCGGTACGGTCCCCCGCGGCGCCAATCAGCTCTCTGATCCGGATAAAATGAATCCTGGCCTCCTTTTCAGTGTAGGGATCTTCAACGACATGCAGCTCGGAGTCAGCAGCAAGACCCTCCACGTCCGAGACCTGGACAAAATCATTAATTCGTTGCCCGTTATGTTCGAGGTGGAAGCACGAGTATTGCACGGCGACCGGGTGCTCGATGACGGATTGCCGGATCTCGTGAATTTGCTCCAGCGGGGATACCTGTGGCGTTTTAGAAGTGTTCTAAGATATTCCAAATTGTCAACATACGGGGAGCTCCAACGGCTGGGCGTCGTGGGGCAAGACGATCTTCACGAGGAAGGGCGCGTCTAGTCAATAGCGTTAGATAATGACCACTATGGATGTGTAGGCCCGGCCGTTTTGCACACGCACCATCGGGCTGCTCGGCATCCTCTTCGGTTGGATGTGTTTCTGCCGGGTCCTCGGTGGGCGTGTCCTGCACGGCAGGAACTTCAGATTCGGGGTTGTCTGGTAGCAAAGAGGTTGTGTTAGTCAGAGCCGGCAGTTTATGGGTGCTTGGATAAAGGAGGGGTCCATGCGAGGCAAGCATATTGGACATACTGGTCGGAGCGGCGGCGTTGTTGGACGGTGTGTCGGCCATCTTGAATTCTAATTTCCGGGGTGATATCGTAGTAATTTTCTGAGCAATGTCGGGACGAATATCAAAGTCAGGTAATTACAGATCGAGGGCCAGCCAACGGTGCAGACCTGCGAAGCAAAAAGAAATGCGTTGCGCAAGAGAGTGCTGAAACAAACGAATAGACGGTAGAAATGGCCCCAATTGGAAATTAAAAACGTCCAAATACGCTGCCAGGCACCGGGGTGGAAGTGGTTCACTGAAAAGCCGTTGGGTGTTTATTCGAGAATTTTTATCAACTTTTTTTTTTTGGCCGGCTCGTGCCGGCCAAATGGCGAGAAGTAGCCGGCACTGGAGCCAACGCTCCGAAGAAACTACCCCTCCAACCCCTCAGGTCCCAACCCTCGGGCCTTCGGCGATCTCGGTTTTCATGCTTCAAAAAAATGAGAGAAAACCTGAGAGACAAAAAACGAAGGTAAAGAGAAAAGAAGGAAGAAGAAAGAAGAAAAAAAAAAACAGACGACGCTTCCCTTTGGGAACAGTGATTCTATCCTGAAGGTAGTCTTACCTTCCCTGTCCAGGTATCTAAATTGATGGTCATGTCATGGATAGTGACACTGGGCTTCCAAAGTTCGATGGCAGTTCAGCCTGTCGGAAGGATGCTTGGCGGGACTCGAGGTCATTGACCAGGGTTTGTTGACGTTCGGCAAATCTAATCCAAAAATGGAATCGAGTCAACAACAATGATTTTATCAAAAACGCAACATTGGTTAACATTTGCTACTATTCGCATTCTTGTTTGCCATTTAACTCCCCCCTAATTAATAGTGAGAGGCGCATCCCATGGAGGGCCACCATCGCGTTCACGTCAAACAAAATATCAACACGACAACAGTTTCAGAACCGTCGCAACCCTGGACAGCCACGCGTTGTCATCGGCTGTTACGGCCTCTTATTGCCCATATTGCGGCTCTCAGAAAAGAGAAAGAGCGGAGAGTATTAATTCAAAGTTCAGCAGCCCCGGGCCAAGCTCCGAAATCACGAAGGACCGTGTTGGGCAAGCGAAGTTATCCAGGTTCCGACTCAGAATACAACGATAAAAAAACATGTCGCAAGTATTCCAGAAAACCATCTCGCAGAAGGTCATCTAGCGATCTCTTATGCACGCCACAACGAAACGTGCAAAAACAGCGCCGCCAGCCCGATAATAAGGCGCCCCAGGACGTTGTGTTGCCTACCCCTTTTCTCCGCCGCGTCAGGAATCACCAACTCTCTTCACCGGCCCAGGCTCGAGATAAACCCATTCAGCCGGAACCTCCCTCAGCAAACGGCCGGTGCACCCACTCCAGGAATGGTTGCAAGACAAAATGCGCCTTCGAGGCCGAGTTGGCTAGTTTCCGGTCTATTACGGATTCCGAGAGACACGGACTCTATGAATCTGTTTTCAAGGCTTTCGACGCCTTGTTAAGGGCCACCTCGCCTAGAAGGAATCAGGCCGCTGGCCCCAAATCACTATTAGCCATGTGCCTCCGAAAGGTTCCGGCTTACATTGCAGGACTCGAAGAATGGGAGAGGCGGGAGTCCGAGGAAAATGGCACGAAATCGGGCGTTCGAGGCGCCGGAGTGTCATTCGAAATCTATTCGGAGCTGGAATCGCTCGGCGCGGTGGATGGGTGGAACCACCTATGTTTGCTTCTGCGGGCTCATGCCGTTGAAATGATCCAAGATGCCGCAACTGAAGATTTGCTGGAAGATCCGGTGACAGGTCTGCTCATACGGCTGTGCCTCGAGTACATGCCACCAACGGAATTCACTGGGCTCATCGACACCTTCGTGATCCGCCAGTACCCGAAGCCCTCCTCCGCCGACGAGGACCTCTTCGCTTCTCCCGCCCTTCAACCGCTCAGGACACTCAGGAGTTGTGACCCTTCAGGGATTTCTACCTTACCCAGGATATTAGCCAAACTCCTTGCCGACGACTTGCTCCCGGCCAGCTGGGTATTGAACAAGAGCTTTATCGCTCTGTGGCCCGAAGCGGTTCGCCATATCACTCACACGAAGTCTTGCCAGAACACCCTAGACTTCGTCGTCGTCACCCTCGAGCTGCTTTGCACCCTTGCCTCGCCCAGGAAGCCGCGTGGCGTACCGCAAACACGGCTCCGTGGAAAATCACAAACCACTCTAATCAGCACCATTGCCGCGCTCGGGTCTGTCATCCTCCTCGGCGTGGAGGGATGCATCCAAACCCCTGAGACCGCCTCGTTCACCCGCGCCGCCACCCTCCGCCGCAGAATAACAAACATCACCACAGCCTGCTCAGCAAACCTCAAAAACCGCAAAACCCCCTCCCGCAAACTCGGCACCTACATCCTCGCCCTCTGCGCCTTCCTCTCCACCTCTGACCCTCCCTCCACCCCCTCTCCCTCCGCACCAACCATCGAAGCCGCCTGGAAGAACGTGCAGACCTGCCGCGGCAACCCGGCGCTCCTCCTGCAGTACGACGCCACTACCGCGCTCATGAGCACCATGGCCTGGCACTGCAGCCGCGGCACCGGCCTGCCGCCGCACTTTTATCTGGCGCAGTTCTGCGACCGCCTGGAGGCGCTGGCCCTCCCGCCCGGCGCTCTCGCCAACATGCGCGTCGACGGCGCGTTTCGTCTGGCAGAGAACACGGGCGATCTGAGGGATTTGGAGGTTGCGGAGGGGTTGTTGAGGGCGAGGCAGGCCGAGGCGGCGGTGGGCGGGTGTGTTACTCCGGGAAGAGGGGGTGGTTGGGTGGGGGTTGAGCAGAAGGGCAAGGGGAAGGTGGCGTCGTTCTCGGGGGTGCGTTGGGATGATGGGATCAGCGAGTGGGTTGCTGCTACGCCGGGGACGGAGGTCCGTCCGGCTGGTGGCGAGAGGCGGTTGAGGTCGAGCGGGGTGGCACTGAGCGAGGATGAGGCGGCCGAGGGGGACACGGGCGATGACGCTTCAGAACCAGAATCAGACATGGAAGCTGACGAGGACGATGTCGACGTCGAACTCGTATCGTCACCCGAAGGCGACGAAACCGACCGATCCGTTTCCATGTCTGAAACAGACCACGACGATGCCGCGCCATCGCCCAACACCGAAACATCACTTGTGTCTGCGCCAGCCTCCCACTTGGAAACAGACCCAGACTCGGCCTCAGACCCCGACTCAGATTCAAACATGGACGCACCCCACCCACATCCCGACGACACCAACACCAGCAACCGCAACGATAACGCCGCCGGCAAGATGCTCCCCCCCACCCCGTCCCGCACCCCCCACTCCCGCAGGCGGCTTCCTCGCCGCCCGCCCGCGCCGCCTCTTGCTCACCCGCCCCTTGTCGCGCGCAGGCGATGAGCTGGCGTTTGACAACGGCACTGGGGAGAAGAGGGAGGATGGGGAAGGGGGGAGTGGTGGAAATGGGAGTGGGAGTAACTGGCTCAGGAGGAAGAAGCCCGCGCGGTTCCGCCCACAGGCTACTGCTGGTGGTCGCGGTGGTGCTGTTGCGGGTACTACTGTGACTACTGCGGCAGCGGCGGTGGTGAGGAAGAGGGTGGCGAGGGCGTCGTTGGTGTATTTGCAGCCTGTTCGGGCGGGACAGAGGCGGAGGTCGGAGGGGTGGGGGGTTGGTGGGGAGGAGGGGGAGGGGAGTGATGATGAGTTGAGTCTGCTTTGAGGGGGTGATGTGTGGTGGATAGAGAGGGTGGGGGTGCTTGGTTGAAGGTTGGATTGGGTTGTGTGGTGTTTACTTTGGCATGATACCATGTGGCTTTGGTTGGAAGTTTACCCGTGTTTTCTTTTGTTCTCTTCTTAAGGGGCTGCTAAGGGCCTTTGTTTGGTTTATTGGGTATGATAATTGCGGTAGATTCATGTACATGCGGATCAGGAACACAAGGGAAGGTTAGAGGCGTTGGTTTGCCTTCAGTTTAGGCTACGGGGTTGTGTATGTGTCGTAGGAGGAAATCGTTAGAATATAATGTGTGGTTATGTCATAGGTGGGCGAACGGGGCGCGCAGTCAAGTGATACTTCAACATCACGGGTTCGTTGTCTTGTTAGAGGCAGATACCATGTCTTGACGTGTTTCTGTCCTCCTTCAGAAGCTTCACGTGTATGTTCTACAAGGTTGTCCCAATGTCTCTGAATGACGCCATCGTTATCATTTGTATGAGGCTCAAACAGGATCCATCGACATAATGTAACGAGATCTGAAACGGCTTGGACTAGTTTTTCATCGATTCGTGCTGCTTTTCGGGCAGGTTTTGCCGCTGAAATCCCCTCTGGCGGAACATCTTGAAGCCTCGGTTCACAACACTATGTAAGAGGCATTGGTATCCCCGCACGCCCTCGGCAGCAATTCCCTGCTTTACTTGGATCTTTCGGGGCGAGATGTCCCATATTTCTTCTGGAAACCACTTCGTCTGGGGTGTGGGAACTGGTGTGTGGGTTGGCTTGACAAATTTCGTTTGTGTTTGAGAAGCGTTTCTCTCACTTGTCAGTCCGCTATTTTATTTTACTTTTTTCATGTGGGGATCGTTCTCCTCGGCATATGACTTGAATGAAAAGAAAAGCAAGTAGTACGGGAAAGGAGGAAAATAAAAGATGCAGCTATCCTCATCGTCACGGCTAGTCGCAAGGCGGTGACGGAAACTTGGACTTACAAGTCCATACTTGGCCAAGTGCTGGACTTTGTGGACAGTGAGATAGCAGCTAGCGGGTTGTGGGCGGCGCCGGGACGACGCCTCGACGACGTCGATCGCACTCCGCAACGGCTTCTCTCCCGATGACTGGTGTGATGGTGGATGCAAGTCGTCGGAGCTCGGCGGGGGCATGTTTCAAGATGGATCGCTTGGGACAGCGGGGGACAAACCCGCGGTCGTCACCCTTCTCCTTTTCTTTTCTTTTGACCGCTGAGACCCCACACAAGCTGTGTTCGTCAGCTCTCAGTTGAAACACCAAACGTGATCTGGCGGGAGATCTGCTTCAAGTCTCGGCGTCGATCGCCACGCGCTTCTGTCAGGCGGGAGTGAAAGCGGCTGTTGACGGCGGCTCTGGAGTTGTCGAGAGCGAGAGAGTTACGCCTCGAGTCCACCGAATAAATGTCGACTACTCGTAGTCACAAGTTGTCGTGTATCCATATTTTAAGCCTTCGCTACGTCTCGGCACAGCAATACCAAATATGTAATGCTACTGTCCTCCGTTACCTTCATCAGCTGCCGTGAGCCGCTGTGCCGTATTGATTGCTCGAGTGGGGAAAGGGGGCATTCCGCCCCCAAGCCTGTTTGCCGACCGCTTGGTAACGACTTGGTAAAGGTCTGGGCCATTCATTGCATTGATGTGGCACAGATCAGGATGGGAGGACTATTCGAAGAGATGGGATGACGAGAGATGCGACGATGCATCGCACATCGCCAGGCATTTTTTTAATCTCACTGCATACAGTATTGGTATGCGCAGACAAACCAGACAAACATAGAAGTGTCTCTCCTTTCCTGATGCGGGTCGAGATACTTCGTACCCTTCCCTGTGTGCCCGGAGTGGCAAACCTGGAAAACCCAGGCCTCCGCGGGGTTCTCCGAGAACCTGGCGGTAGATTTTCTGAATCAGGCGGCCGCCGAAAGGACCGCAAATGTCGACCGAGAAAGCCCCGCTCGCCTCATCGAGATGGAGTTTTGAGTGGCTGAGGAACGTGCTTGTCAGTGCTTGTTCATGCAGAAATGTGTGTGCCCCTGGCAGCAAAGCCCAAAGCGCAGTTTCAGGGCTTGGCCAATCAAGAGCTCAAGATGCTGGGCGCTTGGCAAACCACCTCGACCATGTGGGGCATTGGGCGTCGCGGACGGGGTTTCGACTGGTTTGGGAAGTTGGGTGATGATCCGCTTGCTTCCAAACTTTCCCAGTGGGCATTCGTGGCATGGTGAATGGCAACCCGGGATTCGGCCCACTCGGCGAGTCACTTTTGCCAGGTCTTCCTTCTGACGGCACTTGCATGACGGCTGCACTTGCCGCGGGTTCTTTGGAACTCTCAAACAGCCCACGCGTCCGTTTTCACCACGCGGCACTCCTCAACCATCTATGGAGCGCCACCAGGTGCCAGGTTTGAGGTCGAGACAAACGGTGGTTCGCCTGGTGTGCGAGTGTGCCTCCGTGAGAGAGTTTTGGGAGGTTGACCCGATCGATTACTTGAGAAATCAGGGATGTGACGTGTACAAGTTTGGACAACGTTGTAAAACGGGCATGAAATTACTTGCCCAGTTTACCGGAATGCACGGCTGTGAATGGCTCGTCTGTGGGGAACATCTGAAAACAACCCTGCTTGGTGTGTAAATTACCACACCTGACCTCCGTGGAACCTTACGTTACGAGGTTCCAGGGAGAGAGGGGTTCGGCCAAATTGACCAGCCCCTTCATCCGCACTACAAGCCCTGATCCTTGGGTCAGATCGTCCCTCCATGTCCTCGGAACCATTCTTTTGAACAAGTTCCCTCCCTGGCTGGCCTATTTTGGGGATTTTGACGATTCGTTCATTCTTCATTTTCGGTACGACTCTCCTTTATACTCTGCGCGCAGAGTGTCACTGTTTGTGTCATCAACAATCGGGGCCACTTTGAGGCAGTGACCACATCGACCGTGACGAGTTCACGATACACACACACAACACACACTCCCCCGGACTTGACGACTTGCCGCTGGACGCTCCCGCCATATTTCACTTCTTGCTCGGCCACCTTTTAGGAAACCGACAACACATTCTCTACGAAAACAAAAGAATAGCGACATGGTCAGGTGAAGCCGAAAGCCCGACAACACAAAGGCCACTTGCCTCGATTTTCAGGGAATTTCTTGTGACAGACCCCACGCGACCCGGCGTACCACCGGAAAACAACCAAAATAACACAGCTACCCAGCTCTCCTTGCAGGACTCGGCGGGCGTTGGGAACCATTTCGATTTCAACCTTTTCATTCATTCAGAATTTAGAGCGACATTTGAACGCTTTGATAGCGTCGACGACACGACCACACACACTCATATACATACACACCATCCCCAAGGATATCGACTCTTCGACGACCAATATCTAAAAGGCAGTCGACTTGCACTAGTGATAGGAGGAACGGGTTTAGGAGAAGTTGAAAGAGTGATCAGAAGGGTGACACAGCAACCATTATGGCTGCCCCAACAAGCACAGCAGCCGCAGGCGGACACGGCGGCGGAGGTGGAGGCAAAGGAAGCCATGGGTCGACAGAGGCAGATGTTGTCAACGAGATGTTGTCAAACTACCTGCTCGTTGTGTTGGGCTCCATCTCGGTCGTTCTTCTTTCCTGGAGGCTCACCATGCTCCTGATCAGGTATGTCCGGACAGTGACGTGTCTCTACAACGACACGCAGCGCTATTTCGCCGAGGGCTCCGAGAGGTACTCGTGGTTCAAGAGGAACGTGCAATACGCGCCCATCCTCAGCAAACGGCACAATCGCGAGTTTCAGCTCAGCTCGGCCCTCAACGTCGGGACCCTTCCCACGCGGATGCAACTCGTCTTCCTGCTCGGCTACTTCGCGACCAATGTGGCGTTTTGCGTCATGACCATCGACTACTCGGGGGAGTTCAGGGAGGTTGCCGGGCTTGTCAGGAACCGTACCGGCTACCTCGCCGTGATGAACATGATCCCTCTTTTCCTGATGGCGGGCAGGAATAACCCGCTCATCACACTCCTCGGCATGTCTTTCGACACCTTCAACCTGCTCCACCGCTGGCTGGGCCGCATCGTGATCCTGGAGGCCCTTGCCCACACTTTGGCCTTCCTCATCAGCTCCGCCTCGGCGAGCGGCTGGGACGGCGCCTTCCAGACCGTCTTCCGCGTCCCCTACATGATGTGGGGATTCATCGTGTGTACCCCCCAATCCCGTGGTAATCCCATTGGACTCTGCTGACCCCCAACAGGCAACCTGCGCGTTCGTCGTCATCGGCATCCAAGCCGCGAGCATCTTCCGCCACGCCTACTACGAGACTTTCAAGCTGTTCCACATCGCGCTCGCGATCCTCTCCATCATCGGCCTGTGGTACCACCTCGACCTCAAGAAGCTCCCGCAGCTCAAGTACCTCTACGCCGTCGTCGCGCTCTGGGTCTTCGACCGGCTTGCGCGCCTGATCCGCATCGGCTACCGCAACATCGGGGCCGGCGGCACCAAGACGCTCGTCGAAGCGCTGCCCGGCGGCGCCTGCCGCGTCACCGTCACCATGGCGCGGCCATGGGCCTTCAAGCCGGGCCAGCACGCCTACCTGTACATGCCGACGGTCAGCTTCTGGCAGTCGCACCCCTTCACGGTCGCCTGGAGCGAGGAGTCCGACCACCACCTTGCCGACGAGGAGAAGCTCCCCGTCCGCCGCCAGGACATCCTTGGCGCCGGCAAGACCACGCTCTCCTTCATCATCCGCGGCCGCACGGGCTTTCACCGGCTCCCTCTACAACCAAGCCTCAGCCCGGCCCGACGGCAAGATGGTCACACGCTGCCTCGTCGAGGGGCCCCTAACCGCGGCTCCAGCCGGCTGCACTCGTACGGCACGGTCATGCTCTTCGCGGGCGGCGTAGGCATCACGCAGGCGGTGCCGCACGTGCGCGACCTGGTGGCCGGGTTCAACAACGGCACCGTGGCCACGCGCAAGGTCATCATGGTCTGGACTATCCAGTCGCCCGAGCACCTCGAGTGGATCCGGCCCTGGATGACCGAAATCCTGGGCATGGAGCGCCGCCGCGAGATCCTCCGCGTCATGCTCTTCGTCAGCCGGCCCCGCTCCACCAAGGAGATCCACTCGCCGAGCTCCACCGTTCAGATGTTCCCCGGCCGTCCCAACATCGATACGCTGTTGGGCCACGAGATGGAGAGCCAGATCGGTACTATGGCGGTGTCGGTGTGCGGGCCGGGCGCGCTGAGCGATGAGGTGCGCAGGGCGGTGCGCAACAGGCAGTATGGTGGGAATTTGGACTTTGTGGAGGAGGCGTTTTCTTGGTAGAGAGAGAGAGAGAGAGTGGGTGGAGGAAAGAAACGGAAGGGGAGGGATGAGAGAAAGGGAAGAGGCTGGGTTGATAGACGGCGTAGATCTCGGGCATGGGCTTGGATGAGCTTTGCTATCTTGTCTGTCTGTCTGTCTTTCTTTGGCCATGGCGGCGGCGTTTGCGCTGGAGCGGCGAGACGATCTTCTTGTACATTGTTTTTCCTTGCCGCGGTGTATCATTTAGCGGATTGGTATATATTTTTCATTCGAGTTCAGCATGTTGGTCATTGAAACTGTCTTTTGTCCGAAGTGCCTGTCTGGTCGCTCTAGCAGTGTTGACTCGTGACATCCGAACGGTCTACTGTTTAAAACGGTGTTTTGGGATGGCTGCGGTACCCTTGCTTGAGCTGTCAGCCCCACCCAGAGTCGGGAGGTCCCATCCACCGCCCAACCCCACTTCGGTTGGCACTTGACGTCGCCCTTAGGTTGCACCTGATTAACTCCAGCAAGTCAGGCTTCGGATTCATGACCACCACAACTGCCATCTAACAAACTCCACGGTCAGGTTTTCTTAAAAAGCCACAGCTTCTTACCATTGTATCCCATATTTACTCAAGCCAAGAAAGAGATTGACATTTCCACTGTTGGTTGCGGTATTACCATCCCGAGCGTGCTCCTTATCTGCACTTCCCTTGCCTGACATTGTCCCTCTGCTCTCCTTGCATCGCTCTGCCTCTACCTCGGGTTCCCTCTTCCAACGGGCCTCTAGACCTGGCCACCTCGGCTTCCACACCACCGAATTCGGATTCAAAAGGAAACGTTCTGCGCAGTGCCGCTTCCTCCCGTGAGCTCAACCTTGCCCGCCACAACGTCGCCTGCCACGGCTTGCCCCGCACTCGATCACAAGGCATCAATCGACCTCGGTCATCCACTGCATCCGCCGTCGAATATCCAAGCCCATACTCATTTGGATAGAGGCGACCCATAAGCAGGATAAACAAACAGGACATAGACATCTATCTTGCATATTGTCCGCACACAGCGAAGGGCGCAACCTCTCCCAATCCCCGAGCCTTCCCGACAAACATACACATTTGTAAGAAAACAAACGCAGGTACGCAGGCACGCAGCAACCATGGGCCTAGCATACAACACCTACCTCGACAGCAACCGCGTCTACGGCTGCAAGGGTTGTAAAGCCCACCTCGCCAACCATGACGACATCGTCAGCCGGGTACGCACCCCCTCCGCTTCGCTCCCCCTTCCACTTCCCTCGGGACAGACACTCAAGTCCCCCAACCAACACCTCAACCCCAACCAAACCCAAAACCCACACTAACCCCCAACCCCCCTGCCTCCCCACAGAACTTCCGCGGCCAACACGGCAAAGCCTACCTCTTCAACAGCGTCGTCAACATCGAAACCGGCGAGCCCTCGGAGCGCAACATGACGACGGGGCGGCACGTGGTGCGCGACATCACGTGCCGCGTGTGCAGCGAGGTGGTCGGGTGGAAGTACGACAAGGCCTACGAGGCCAGCGAGAAGTACAAGGAGGGCAAGTTCATCCTCGAGGCCGAGCTGCTCTGCACGGTTAGCTAGGAGGGGCCCGAGGAGCCCGCTGCGCCCATGGCGACTCGGCCCGTGCGGGAGGTGCTGGAGCCGGATGTGGTGTCGGAGCCAGAGGTGGTGCCGGAGCAGCCGGTGGTGTCGGTTGTGCCAGTTGTGCCGATACCACCACGGCCGATACCAGACCGGCCGCCGCCGACGGGGCCGGTGCTAGTGTGGCCGGTGCCAGCGCGGCCGGTGTGGGCGGAAGATGATGGTGAGGATAATGCTGACCCGGGTGGAGAATAGCGGGAAAGTGGAAGAAGGGTAGGAGGGAGGTTAGTTATTGATCCTGGGACGGGCGGTCAGCACACAGCACACGCATCGCATACAAAGAGGGGTTATGGTTGGATGCTTGGGATTGGGGTTTGCTTTGCTTTCGCCATGCTTCCTTTTTTCTCTTTTTCCTGTTTTCTTTTCTCTACACATACTCACGGACGGAGACACCGGGGCATCACTGCAGTTAAGGGTTCGCGGTTGGGGGATGGGGTTTGGCGTCTTCGGTTTTTATTTCGATCATGATTACATTATCAGAATGGGGGACGGGTTATAACTACTGGGGCTTCTCGTACGATCTCTAAACAACCCCCAATTCCGCAACAACAAGGAACACTGGGCTCAGAAGGAAGAGAAGTGTAACTTGTCGTGGACTAGACATCACGGAAACCTAGAGTCCAGCAATTCAGAATCACCGTCAAAGCCGGAAACACACATCACCCATCTTGGGTACATAGGTAACCTCCAGCTCACTGAACAGTCTCAAACGAGACCTCTCAATAATACCACTCTCAAATATGCCAATCTCACTATAGTGGGTTGTTTGCGGTATGGTTTGGTTTAGTGTAGTGAGCAAATCCTTGCGCCCGTACTCCGCTAGTTGTTTGAGACGTTCTCCTAGCTGTGCCAAATTGAATGAAACGAAATATGCACGTCCTGTCCTGTCCGGTGTCTGCGCCTTTCCGATGATGTTGATGATACCATGTATGTACCATGCGCCATACCAACCAACCTTATACCCACTCCCTTGACACGATACGATACGAATCCAAACGCCGCCGATGTGATTGATATCTACACCATCAGCTCCCCCAAACGGGACTTGACATCTCTCCTAACATACCATGCGAGCCAGTCAACCCTACCTATAAAAGCAACTCCCAACCACTCACTCACTCACCCAACCCACCCCCTAGTTATGCTCGATGGGCTCCTCGGGCAACAGCTCCTCGACCTCGCGGACGCGGAGGAAGGCGAAGGGGGGCTGGACGACGCCGTTGAAGAGGAAGGTGAAGTAGACGAGCAGGGCGAAGCCGAGCACCTGCAGCCACTTGAACGTCTCCCAGCCGAGGCCGAGCGAGACCATCCAGATGAAGAGGGTGCGGCACGTGTCGATGGTGGAGCGCGCCGTGGCGCTGACGCTGCGCGTGACTGACAGGCCGAAGAAGTTGAAGCCGCTGGATGGGTGAGAGAGAAGTAACGTTAGCAAGCAAAGGCGAGATAAGATGAAAAAAAGAGAGAAAAGAAAAACTCACCCGATGCTGATCATGATCATGACGCTCGACACAAACACGCCCTTGTTCTCCCAGAACTGCCGCCACCCCTCCACCATATCAAACGGCCCCAGCCGGCCCGCCTCGGTCCTGCCCACCGCCGCGTGCAGCACCACCATGCTCAGCAGCGTCACGCTGAAGCCAAACACACCCTCCCAGCCCACCACACGCAGCGGCTCGATGGCCGACCTCTCGAGGATCCACTCCTCCAACACAAACTGCGTCGCCGTGAAGATCTGCGCGCCCGCAATCATCAACACACCCACAATCACCCGCACGGCATCGGCATTGACCCCCTCGGGTTCAAGCCCCACATCGGCATGCTTCTTATCCGGCTGGATGGCGCCCGCGAGCCCGACAATGCCCACGCCCAGCATCACGCCCACCAGCGACAGCCACTGGAACAGGTGCAGGTGGCGGCGCAGGAAGACGACGCTGAACACGCCGACGAAGAGCACCAGCGCGCCGCGCGTCATCTGGTAGATGGAGGCCGCCACCAGCAGCAGGCCCGCGTTCATGAGGGTCGTGCCCAGGATGTCGCAGATGGCGGGGAGGGCCAGCAGGGTCACGCGCCAGCCGTGGAGGACGGAGGGGCAGTCGTGCGGCTTGGGCACGCCGCAGTCGTTGATGTTGTCGTTGCTGCCGTCGTTGGGGGAGGGGTTGAGCGGCGTGGTCGAGCGGATGCTGGCGTTGTCGTCGGCATCGCGCGGGCGGCCGGTGGTGTCGTCGTTGTCGATGGTCGCGATGGGCTGGTAGCTGGCTGAGGCGGCCGTGGTGGTGGGCTTGAGGTAGCGACGGTAGAGTGAGATCAGGCCGACTACCAGCCAGCACCCCATCTCGCCGACGAACATTTGGAGGGTCTGGATCACGGGCTGCTCGAAGTGCTTGCGCTTCTTGGGGTCGGGATGGTCGCAGTCGCGGACGCAGAGGTTGTCCTGGTAACGGTAGTGTTAGTAAGAGTGGGTAGAAGATGCGCAGAGAGGCCTGAGACATACCTGATACTTGGTCAGGAGCGTGTTGCAGACGCCCGTGAATAGCATCATGGCCACCAAGAACGGGATGATGGCCCGCGCGGGGATGATTGTTGTCGCCATTGTTGCGGTTGCAGAGAGCGACACCTCAACAACAGGAACCTAGAAGATGGGATACGAAGGGTTCGTTGCCGGAAGGAGCGGCAGGGAGGGGGTCGAGGTGCCTGGATAAAGACACCGGGTCGGCGGGATTGAACCAGAACGTGTTAGGCGTCGGGACGAACAAGTATCAAACTTTGTCCAGTCGCCAAATGCCTCGATCTGGTGTTGAATAGAGGGACGGGGCGTCCCTTTCTTGTTGAAGTTGACGAAGGGAAGGACGGAAGCCCAAGGCAGGTGATGCCTCCGATTCGGGCTTTGTGTGTGGAATGGAAAGGCTGGGCGCCTCAGATAACGAGACCGCATGACGCTGCCGGTGGTGGACCCTGGAGCCCGCAGCCCGTCGCCCTGCTGACTGATAGGCTGCCGCCGGTTGGAAGATAGGCGGAGCATGGGCCCCGACAGGCTGCCCCATGTGCCGTGGCCAACAAAGAGCATCCATTTGGTGGGTCTGGACCCCAGGCCTCGGTGGCCTTGCAGCTCCGCACCCAACGAGAACCTCGATGGACAAGGTGTGACAAACAATATGCAGCTGGGCATCGAGATCGTCAACAACTTGCAGATGGAGGAGGTGAGGAGCACGAAAGATGTCAAATGGAGTCATACCTCGATTACGAATACAACAATGCAATGATGATAAATCTAACGATAAACTCGATGCTCTCAACGCTAACTAACCATTAATTATCACCAGTAGCCTCTGCCGTGTATGCTCGCTTGTTCCCAACGCCATCCATCATAACGGGTATCGTGTTTTTGCAAAATCAACATATGAAACCAACTCCTCTTCTCCCGATGAATCCCCAAAAACCCTACTTCTCAGGGTCCCCCTTGTTCTTCTCCTTCGGCTTCTTGTCCTTGAGGTTGTTATAGTGCGGAATACCCAACTCCTTATCCCGCGCCAGCCTCTCCCGATCTCGCTCGGTAAGCGGCACACCCTCGATGCTCTTGACCCTCTGCCCTTCCTTAAACTGGACCCAACCACCCACCATGGCGATCACCATGCCAATCCCCACCAGGAACCCGGTGGCCCAGCTCGGCCGGTCGTACCTGTTCATGCCCCACATGATGCCGCAGAGGCCGCACTGCGCAAACGTGTTCAACACCATGGACCAGATCACAAAGTCCACCTTCCACATCCTCGTCGCCGGCGCCCGCGTGCCGGTCAACGGCGCGCGGGCCATGCTCTTCTCCGGAATCGGCACGCAGCTCGGGGGGACGTCGGGCGTGATGTTGCCGGGCCCGACATCCACGGGCAGGTCCTGCGTCCCAGGCAACCGGAACCAGCTGTTGTGGATACCGGCCAGGCGGCGGAGGCCTTCAGGTTTCCCCAGGACGCGGTGTTGGAGGAGATAGTACAGGTCGCGGAAGCGCCAGGGGGCGAGGCCGAAGGCCGTGACGCAGAAGAGCCCCGTGAGGATCTGGGCGTCCCACTCGATCCACTTGCGGCGCGGCGAGTCGATGTCGTCGCACGAGGGGTAGCACATGGCGGGCGAGGCGTTGCAGAGCAGCAGGAAGATCATGCCGCCCCATGCCACCACGTTGAGCCCGTAGATGGTCCAGAAGAAGCCCATGGGCGTGGTGAAGAAGCCCCAGAAGGTCTTGAGCCCGTGCTGGGTCGCCTCTTTGAAGGGGTATTTGGGCGGGAAGTGGTAGCCATTCTCGAACGGCTCTGTCAGTTCTGGCCGGGCGAGGGTCGCTTCTTCGGAAGACGTGACGGGGGTGGCGCCCAGATTTGATGTACGTGGCTCTCCTAGGTTCAGCGGCCGGTTCTCGCCATGGTCTACGGAGGGCGGCATCCCGTCTCTTGGTGTCGCCTGGGGCGACGGTACGGGTGAGAGTGCGCGCCCGTCAGAGTGCGTATGTCCGGGACAGATCAAGGAGGCGAGGTTGTTCGTCAGGAATGTGTATGTATGAACAGTAAAAGACGAGCGGGCCCGGTGCGTGGTTCTGTCAAGCGGGATCGGCAGACTTTATGGAGACAAAGATGCGATTAAAGTTCGATTTGGGCCAGGGGAGGTTGCTCCACGGAAACTTGGGGAGGAAATATGGTTGGGGCCAATTGGATCTTATCGGCCGGGAAGCAGAAATTAAGGTGCGATGACGTTGGACGGCAATGAAACTGGTCGTGATACCTTGAATTGGGAAGTGGGAGGCAGAAACAAATATTCACTGTGAGCGTGGGACCAACAGGGCCGTCTGCGACGGCCACGCGGGTCCAGAGGCGCAGGGCACAGCGAGTGACGACACACTTTCGTCCCGATCCAAAGCAAGCCTCTCGGTTGATGCCGCAGCAGCGGCCTTGCTTGCGTGGCAAAGAGACGGCGCAAGGAGACCAGCGAGACCAGTAAAGGGAGAGCTGACAGGGGTAACGGTTTGGTTTGCCCGAGTCAGGATTAGCGCATTAAGGCTCTGGCGCTGGGCAATCTGGGCGCTCTGGGCGCTCTGGACCACTGCCGATCAAAGTACGAGTTAAACGAGCGCAACAATGTGAAAATCGATCGCGAAACACACGGACACGGTGCTCCGGAGCCAAGTCGCACGACAAATTCTCAAGGGGATCCATTTTCATTTTATGAATATCTATCGCTCTTCCCTTCGCTTTCGTCGCCGGCCCCGGCTCCTGTTTTTATCGAGCCGGGACGATATGCAACTCCGCCTCCGTTCCCACCGCAGTTAAGATCGTGCTTTACCTGCAGAGCGGTGGTGGTCTTGCAACTGGCAGGAGAGTCAACTCCGCCTTTCCGTAGCTCGATGTTCCACAGTGGCCCCTTGTGCCGCGATCACACAAAACCCCTCCTCTGAACGACCATAACCACAACCACAACCCGACACCCGAACCTTTCCCATCCGTCATATCATCAATACTTGTGCCTCGTGCTGTAATCCTTCGGGCTCACCACCAAACCGCGACCCTTCTTGGCGCCGCGATACACCGTCTCGACGATGTCTATGAGCTCCTGCTTGTCCTCAAGCACCCAGTTCAGCTTGTTGTTGTTACCCGTGCCGAAATCGCACATGATGTGTTTATTGCGGAAGAAGAACATGATGGAGCACGGGTCGTACAGCTCGTACATGGCGTTGAAGTCGGGCACCTGGTCGATGTCGCACAGGTAGATGACGGCGAAGTTCTTGACGCGCTCCGCGATCTTGAACAGCGCCTCGTCCTGCCGCATGCAGTCCTGGTGAATGAGGTTAGCTGAGGGGTAGATAAGGTTGAGTGGGTTAGGGGACACCTACCGGGTCGTGATCGCGCCCGAAGCGGATGACGACGACTCGTTCTTCCTCTGTAGTTGACGTTAGCTGCTGGATAGTCGGGCTTTAATCTCGGATTGTGAGCAGTGGGCAAGAAATGATTGGGACTGGCGAGTTGACACTAACCTGAGACGATGGCCTGGTCCACGTGCCAACCAGAGGGCAAATGTGGGAGCAGCACGGAACCCATTTTGATGTGTATGTGAGGCTATGAAGCTGCTTTGAATTGTTCTGCTTAAGTTGATCTGCTTAAATTGATGTCGTTGATGTTGATGTCGTTAATGTTGATGTCGTTGATGTTGATGTTGATGTTGGTTGAGGTTGAGGTTGAGGTTGAGGACGATTGTTGAATGCCCCGCGGTGCATGAGGCTGTCCTCTTGTGACTGGGCAGCAGGGCCATGATTTCAAGCACTCTTTCGTAATGCAGGGTTGTTCGGTAACTAACTACCGTAAATTACCACTCTTTCACACAAGCCCACTCAAGCTAAATAACTAACAGGGAAGACCGGATGGGATATCAAACACTCTCTACATTTCGCTTTTTTTCTTTCTTTGTTTTCTTGAAACTTCGGCCTGTGACTTTAGAGAAGTCATTTCTTCGCAAGCCAAAAATATTCCCCTTTTTCCTCTCATCGATCGGGTTACATAAAACAACAGATCATGGGTAGTCTTCCCAACGTGGCCATCATTTCCAGTTAATTCACATGGAATCTTTGAGAGGAGGCCATCGTTTTGGTATCAAAAAACCCCAGCGCGCTGTTTTGGGATGAGGGAGGGAAAACGACAAGTCAAGAAGAACAAGGGGTCGGCCGCCGGCGAAGGCCCCGCCATGATACCTACTTATCTACTCAATGCCATGTCACTGACGCGAGGCGAGATGCATGATTGGCACAAATAGGTCTGTTGAAACTGGTTAGGGGTTAGGCAGACCGGTGGGCAGCCGTGGTGGGACTCTCTTTTTGGCCTTCTCGGTTGAATTGATTGGCGCCCGCTCGACATCCGCCGTCTCGCTGCAGCCCGGCAGCCTTGTCATTTTTATAAAAGTGGTCGAATGCGCTGTTAGTTTCTGGTCTCGGGCACGAACCTACCGGCCTTCCTGTCCATCCACAGACAAGTATCACCGCCATGGCCGAGGCTTTTGCACCGAACGCTGTGGATATAATCATCGAGATCTGGAACAAAATCGAGGAGAGAATCGAGGAGCAAGAGGTCGCCGAGGCTCTGGCAGCTGACCTCTCCGAGTTCGGCGTCACAAGCAAACGGGTGGCTCTCCAGACCGATGTCGAGATTGCGCAGAAGGTGGCCCGCGACCCGAGTGCCCCTCTAGAGAGGAGGAAAGATCTCGAGATCCAATTTCGGCGCGTCCATCAACTACTCGAGAGCATTCCACAAGCAATCGAAAATGTCGTCAAGAACCAGAAAAGAGGAGCTCCTTTCAAGTACTTCCGCCCACAGGCAAACAGAAAGCTCGCGAAGCTGGTGGAAAGCTACCGAACCAGCTTCCGGGACTTTGACCAGGCGGTCATTAGGGCTGATGCGGCGACCAGGGGCGACTTCTACCTCCTGATCCAACCCGGTGAGATGAAAGTTATCGGGGATCCGCCTGATGTTGTCTCCATTGGCGACGGCATCTCGGTCGCTCGTGTCTCCTACATGGATTTAGGGGGCAATGGAAGTGGCGTCGCCAAAGTTCTCTGGGAGACGGCGGCTAGTACCGAGGCAACCTGGGCCGAGAACGATCGCGACATGCGAGTCCTGTCTGCGGCGCTCTCCGGGGCCTTGCCGCACTGGCATATACCGAGACTCAGGGGATATGAGAAGAACAAGGCTTCCAAGATGATGCGACTCGTCTTCGACCACCCGGACCCCACCCGTGAACTCTGTACCCTAGACGACGTATACGAAGCTGCGGTGACGGCGCCGTCTCTCACGCTTCGTGTGCGCTTGTGCTATCAGCTTGCCCTCGCGGTTTTGCACGCGCACAAACCACGGATCAATGTTGTGCACAAGCACATCCGACCAGGTAACCTGCTCCTGGCTGTGCCGAAGACGTGGAAGAAGCAGAGGGGCGAGCTTGTCATCCCCAAGGACTGGAGGGGCGAGGTGGACAGTGCCGGTCGAACTGGGTCCCAGAAAGATGTTGACCTCTTCCTCTCGGGGTGGCAAAACTCGCGCACAACGACTCAGGCCACGAGGTTTATAGGCGAGTCGGCCCCCCACCGGATCATCTACCAACATCCGCAACGGCACCAGGTCAACGACGTCGAGCAATACAACATCGGCCATGACATATATAGCCTCGGGGTGTGCATGCTGGAACTGCTAATCTGGGATCCATTGGTGTCATTCGGCGAGACGGGGGATTCGAGGCTGTCCGAAGCGTATCAGACTGCGTTTTGCGATAAAGGGTTCGATGCGGATGTTGAGATACCCCTTGATGAAGACGTCGACCTGTCCAAACTGTTCACGCAGGACGCCGAGAAAATCAAGGAGACGATCATCGAGATCGCGGAAACGAGTGTGGCTCTTCACGCGGGAGATCGGCTCGCTAACCTTGTGTGTCGTTGCCTCACTTGCCTCGATACTGCCCCCATGTACGGTGGCAGTCAGTTCCACGATGGCGACAACAAAAACCAAATATCCGAGGCATTCTCGCAAGAGATTTTCTCTGACCTTAATAGAATTTTGGACGCACTCGACGTAGCTAGTACGGCCGAGGCGGGATGGATAAAGTAAGATACCTGGGTAGGAAGGTAGGTACCTAGCTGCGTTAGAAGCTTTTCAACTTAAGTTGTACATGCATACATACATACCTGTCCCAAGCCGGTCATCGGCATATTCTGCGGTGGGATGATGGACATATATTGCCTGATATAGAGTAATCTAACACCACAAAGCTAGACGTTTTGCCGGCTCGCAACCTGAACAAGCCCGATATTACCTCCCAGATGTGTAGCTAGCAGGTTTACACGTGGGAGGAAAGAGCTGTGAAGGCATATTATGACGGTCACGTGAGGCAAAGAATAGGAAGCCAGTTTACTTCGTACCGTACATTGTTACAAAATACAGTGCCACTTCATCCGCAAATTCAGTCAAAAAACTCAACAACTGACAACTCCAAGTCAAGCACCCGCCCATCCGCAGGATTTAGACTCAAAATGGCGTCGTTAGACCATATCGAAGCGCTCACAAAAGTGGTGTTGAACAATCTGGAATACCAACACGACTGGACAAGAGTACAACAGCACATCCAACACACCCTCCCGAGGCCACTCATTTACGGCCTCCCTCCAAAGCGCCTCTACGTGCACCCGGATGAGCAGATCGACATCATCAAGGCGGAGAAGGAGTGCGGAGAGAGCATTCCTCAAGAACCCGAGGTCGAATGGGTCCTACCACTCCACCTTTCCGAGAAGTGGTCGCCTGCTCAGTTCGCCGCGGTATTTGACGCCATCGAGGCTATCCCGCCGGGCGGAGGAGACCTGGATGCGGCCGACGAGGTTGGCGAGGAGGAGCAATGGAGGCTTTGGAGGGGGCCGAAGCGTGGGAAGCGGATCTTGCTGGCGACCGTCCAGGACGACTCGACGGTCACCTACTACTGGATTTTTGACGGCCTTGTCAAGCCGAGGCAGAACTGAGATGTCACACACATCATCCCAAACATGATGGAAAGCACTCTCTGTTTGGAATTACTCGGCTATGTGCTGTTGAGGACTATCTCCACGCCTACTCAACACGACCATTCTACTCACGGCTTGAAGATGACCTTTTGCACCTTCATCTGGTCAAACAAGTCATATCCCTCAACCGCCTCCGAGAGCGGCATGATCTTGTCAAACATGAAGCTACCACAGTTAGCACGGGGATTTTATTGAACGTCGAAATCACCCACCTGAACTTATCCTGGTTCTTCACCAACACCGGCAGCGCCTCGGGGAAGATGGATCGGACCGGGCAACGGCCCATCTGGACCCTGACGTTTTTGCTGTTCCCAGTTAGCACATCCACTCAACACCAAAACAAGCAGCAAACCACCCACTTATACGCCTCGTTGCCGTCCCAGGGAATCTGTCCAACCGATCAGCAAAACCACTCCCACCCCCCAAACCACACCACAACAGCCTCACCTCAGCATTATGCACCCCAATACTGCTAATCACCCCAAACGGTCTAATCAGATCAAACGCGGTCCTCAACGCCGGGCTCAACCCCACCACCTCAATGACCCGCGCATGGGCCCCGCGCCCCCCCGTCACCTCCCGCACCCTTTGCAACATCGCCTCCTTCCCCCCTCCCCCGCAAAATTCAACAGCTCGGCCCCCAACCCCCTCGCCACCTCTAACCTCGCCGGCACGCTATCCACCGCAAACACTTTCCCCGGCCCATACTCCAACGCCGACACAATCGCACACAGCCCCACCGGCCCGCACCCAATCACCACCACCACCGCCTCGCTCACCTCCAGCCCCTGCCCGCGCAGCATGTCGAACGCGTTGCGCGCGCCGAAGAACCCCGTCGGGAAGATGTCCGCCATGAGGATCAGCGCGCGGTCGTCGGCGCTGCCATCGGGGCTGGTCATCTCGGCGGGGGCCCGCACCACGGTGCCGTCCGCGTGGGGCACCCGCACGTACTCGGCCTGGCCGCCGTCGAGGTGCGGCGAGCCGAAGAGTTGCGAGTGCGCGCAGCGCGAGGAGGCGGAGTGCGTGCAGTAGAAACAGGTTTTACTAAGGAGTGGTGGGGGTGGAGAAAGGTTAGGGAGGTTTGTCTCTTAATGTGTTGGTGGGAGAGGGAAGGAAAGGGGTTGTTTGTTGTTGAGTAGCGTGTGGCGTGGCGTGGCGTTGGGGTAGGGCTGGACTCAACTCGACTTGACTTACCAGGACACGGTAAAGGGCGTGACGACCTTGTCGCCGACGGAGACGGATTGGACTTCGCTGCCGGCCTGGACGACGGTGCCGACAAACTCGTGGCCCATGATGAAACCCGTCGGGGAGGGCTGGTGGCCGCGGTAGACGTGCAGTTCCCTAGGGTTGTTGTCAAATTATACAGGTTGGTGGACGACGATAAACATATTCAGGGGCGCCGACTTACGAGCCGCATAGCGCCGTGGAATGGACCTTGACGATGATGTCTTTGGGGTCTTGCACTGCGGTCTGGGTGAGCGCCGTGTCGGAGATATGGGGCATGCGCGACGGAGGCTTACGCTTGGGAACGGGCCGCTCTTCGACGGCAATGTGTTTGGGGCCGTGGAAGACCACGGCCTTCATGGTTGCTGGGAGGTCAGTCATGACGTGATGTATTCCCACGGCGGTTGAAGGTACAACGAGATGGATGTTGATTCAGAACGGGGACCCCGGTATATAAGCAAAAGATATTGATATGTGGGATTACAAACTCAAGCCTGTGGCGTGGGCCGTTACTCATCCAATCGCGATGAATAACATTGATTACTTGGTGATCCCATAGGCAAGTATGGATGTTTAGTGATGTGTGCCCTATTAATTCACCCCGCCTGTTGCGGCTGGCTCCATCCCGGTGCGGGGACCGGACGACGGCCGCTTTGACCGAGGCAGAGGGAGTGGACCAAGGCCGCGGTATCCCGAGATCCGAAGTTGCGATTTCGGAGCTAGCTCCGTCTTCCACTAGAGATATTGTGGGTATCCTTAAACATATAAGTGAATATACTGCCTTTCTCTTCTTATTTTTCTACCAACACTACTTGTTTGGGGGGTGGAAGATTTGGTGGTGTCATTCGAGGAGCACACGACAGTTATCTGTCTTGTAAGCTAAGGGGTGTGAGCCCTCAGAAGTCTGTAGTAACCTTCAAGTGAATCAAGGGTGCTCAACACAAGAGTATGCATCTGTCTAAGAAGAACGCTGGTTGTGGTTTTCATGCCCCAACCCATCCGTGTTTCGTAGGCATATGGATATAAATGGCGTTATGGGAGAATGCCGGGGCGTTGGCCTGGCTTGGACTGAGAATGAGAGCAGTTTGCGCTCTTATCAGCAACACTGAATGAAAGAGCAATCGTAACTGAGTCGAGACAAAAAGAAAAAAAGGACTAGTATCGCGACCGACTGAGAAATGATCACTCCAGCTCAGCCAGTAACTGAACCCTGGCTGATGGTGAAGCCGGCGAGCGGCGCGTGAAGTGAATTGGCAAGTATTGGGTAGGCATCTGGCGTGCCTCCTAGGGCTCCGAATGAATGCCCTCTTTCGAGCAAGCTAGCCAGCCTCATGGCAAACGGATTCGGGCGACAATCGGTCGACTCGGGTTACTACCGCGGCAGTCGGGTTGAGAGGTCTCGTTGAACGGTACCACCGAATGTTGGGGATGGTGTCACAACCATGGAGTTGGGACTCAAGCGGTACGCGAAAATCCGCCATGTGAGCATGTTGTCTCTCCTCTCGCCGTGAACAACTTCTTGTCAACAGCGGCTGAGCCGAAGAGGAGCATCGAAATACGGTAAATCGAGGCAAGCGAACAGAGTCTTCGTCGGGGCTAAAGGAACTTCTACAGTGGTACGCCGCGACCAAAATAAGGTGTTGAGTCTTTCGAGGTCGCCGCTTGAAAATGGCTGCAGCGGCCCCAATCTGTGTTCCCTGGTGTTCTGTTGCACTGGACTCGAGGTCGTCCTCTCCGAAACTCGTCCAGTCACACATTCGCGCGGGCACCAGCGGCACTACTTATTGTCTCGTTTGCGGTTGAGAGAATCGGCACAGGGAACGGCTAAACTCGAAATCGGCGGCTGCATGGCGTTCCGCCCGGGGTACATGTGCTGTTCCGTGGCCCAACCAAGGCCACCGAATCCACGATGAGAAGCGATAGCAGGTGACACGCCTCGTTCTGTGGAAGTTTGGGCGGGAGCCGCTGGTGAAGAGCGGGCGAATCTTACCGCGGCATTTGGTGGGACCGTTCGATACTTGGGAATACGGAGAGCCAATCTCGTGTTCGCCTCACCATCTCGAGGGAAGTCGATGCCATCGCGGGTCTGCGCTGCGGCGGTCCTCTTGCCCATGTCGCACAGAGGGACCGATGCAGCGGCTCATGCCTAACCGGGCCCAGCCCCCGACAAACAGGGCCCAGTCCCCGACAAACAGGGCCCAGTCCCCGACAAACAAACAAACATCGGGACGGAGAAAGCTCAAAAGGGCTGAATGAAGCCGAGACAAGAGCGAAGCCGTGAGGCCTCTCGAACGGGCTTGGCCGAGCACGCCGCTCGAGTGCTTACTCTGCAGTGTGTCCGATTACGCTCCGCAGAATGCGACCTGCCGTCCCTGCAGGCGGAACGGCTGGTGAGTGGTCACCGACCTGGGTGTGATGGTCTGCATGGAACATGGACACGCCGCGGCCCCTCTGCTGTCGTCGGTGTTCCTGGCAGGGGATAGCGGCTTAAAGCTTCGGAGGGCTTTTTCTTGGCTCGGAAAGGAAACTTTGCTGGGAAGGGAAGCGATCTGAGGTTGCAGCGCGAGAAGTCTTGGGGCTCCGCTGGCACTTGGCTGAGAGCGGCAAGCTCCCGGCATGGATTTCGGACTGACCCGTAGCATGGCGCTAGGAATCGACCGATGAGTCCGCGGCTCTTCTTGGCTTGAAGAGGTGGTCCAGAGCGACACCGAGAAGACCGAGAAGACGGGCCGGTTGATTGGACGATGCAATCGGACAGGGATTTGGTTCACGCTTCGTTGTGGG